TGCTTTGCTTCCCGATACCCCTCAATTCCTTCAACGACCTATTTTTCTTCCTTTGCATTCTCACTCCTACAAAACAACAACAACAACGAAAAAAAAAAAAAAAAAAAAAGAGGAAAGAAAAAAAATGGGCAAAACAATAAGGAGGAAAAAAGTGGAATGGGGTGTCCACAAATTCCTTCCTTCCTTTGGAGCGAGAAACCTCTGATAAAAGTCCCCGCCGAAAGAACAACTACAGGCCGTTACAACTCCTGCGTCACCTGAAACATCTGCGAGCGTGGAGCCCCGTCAACTGTGTAGAGTAGCTTCACACGAAGTGTCAGAAGGCGAGGGTTCTTGTTGCTATTGGAGTTGTCGACAATAAGCTGCTGAACAATGCGCCCATAAGGGGGGATCACCGTAGACGTCAGAAAGCCAATATTCAGCATCGATGTCTTTGGCACCGCTGCCTGGATGGAGAGGTTCTCCATCGCGGTAGGAAGTCGTGAAAAAACAATTATATTTGCGTTGATGGCTCCCTGCACCACGCCGCTCACACTGACAGTGAAATCATCACAATCAAACACATGCACTTCAGGAGGAGGTTTCGCAGGCTCCATTTCAGCAGAAGTGGCAGCTCCCGATGGAGTCGGCAGAGGGGCGGTATTCGAAGAGGCATCCGTTTTTAACCCAAAAAGATCATCTATGGCTACAACGTTGTTTTCGTTGTCCCTATTTTTGTTCTCCACAGGATGTGTCATCACAATCGGTTTGGAATTCACTTCAAATAAATCTTCCAGCGCAACGGCTGCCTTTTGCTGCAAAAACTCGGGTGGAAGATTCACCTGAGGCACCGGTTGCACCTCAACATCCTCTTCCACGTGACAAATTGGCGGCATTCGAGAAAAACAAAAGGCCGCTTCCTCTACAAAAGATTCCAACAGTGTCATGTACTCACATGCCCTTTGCTGCAGTTCGCAATCCAAGCTTGTGGTGTAGTTGGAAAGTACGGGGAGAACAACTGGCTTCGCTGACGGATACCTGGAGGCGATTTTCATAAGCGAAGTAAGGCCATAACATTTGATTATGTTGAATACAGTGTTAGTCGTGATTTCCGCAACGCATTTCGCTACATCCTCAGGCTGGATTCCCTTTGCGTCAAGCAAAAGATCAACGTATTCACCGATGCCCCACACCGCCGCCACAAGAAATGCCTTGCGAGATTGATGAAGAGCATCAAATGGGTAAGAAGCCTCATCCCACATGGAGACAACCGCCGAGGTTTGTATTTCCGTAGATTCATTCGAGAGCAGAGTTATAAGACGAGTGGCGAATTCCACAGGGGCAAACCGCTTCGCTAATCGCAAAACCCGTAGCGAATACTCCACGCGCCACTCCGTACTGGGGGATTTGTTCTCTATAATGCGGCATAAATGAAGGGTCACATCCTCCCGCATCTCCTCCGTAGAAATGGTCAGGTAGGAAACCAAGTCCGGAACCAACAAACGCAGATTGTTTTCAGTGACAAGCGCCACCGTCAGATCAAGTGCACGTCGACGAATTGAGATATCCACATCTTTAAGACAATCCAAAATAATGTCCTGATGCTCACGAACCGCATCTGCATCGCGGGAAGCGTAGTCCAGAAGTGACTGTAGCGCCACAAAACGCTGATTGTTATCGTTCGACGACAGAAAACGGCTGATGGTGTTGATTCCTAACGTACGAAGTCCCTCGTCACCCTCGATGGCGTAAATCGTTTTCACGCATTCGTACTGAATGGAGCAACCGACGTTGCGAGTAGCGTCCGTGTTGGTGAGAACCTGCGCCAACACGTCGTTCAACGCCTCGGAGGTAACGGCGCTGCCTTTGCCAATAATTCGCATAAACTCCAGAATCTTCACCTGAAGAAATGGATCCGTGACCCCAAGAACATCCTGGTCCGTCACACGCGATGATAAGACTAACTGTTTCAGTACGCGAACAGCAGCATTAGCCATCACACGGTATTTGGAAAGAAATGGCTCTCCCTGTGGCAACCGCAAGCATTCATTCACAAGCGTGACCGCCGAAAGCATCTCCGCCGGACTGTGATCAATAAACAAGCTTGTAAACAACTCCAAAAACACCTCGGCATACTCTGGTACTTTTCGTACAATCCTAATTGCCGCCAAGCATGCTTTCTTTGCCAGGTACGTGTTTGAAGAGAGTGCCAGCCGGCTTATTTCATCCAGCATGTCACGTGCCATCACCTCACTCGCAATATTTGCCACCGCGTTCAATGCCATAGATTGAATGAGGGGCTTCTCGTGCGCTAAATCCTTTTTTATGTGATTCTCAGACAATGTGAGAACCTCGTCATTTTCATCAAGGATCATCTGCAGTGTGAGGTAGCCGACGCGTTTGCCGGCGTATTCGGTCTGAGCGAGAAGACTCACCACCTCCACCTGTCCAAACTCCGTCGGATAGCCAAGCATGGTGATGTACAGCAACTTCAGCATGTTGCGTGTGCGAAGTGACGCTCTGCTCTCCCGGAATGACTCGCGAATGATGGCGCACTCCCGTTTGATGAGCGCTCTCTCCTCGGCGGAGGTGCGGCACCGTCGCACGGCAACGATCAAGTCACGAAGTCTCGCAGTGCTCATCGACTCAAGTTTCCCCTCCATTTACGACAGACTTTGTTTTGTTGTCAGCGTTTTTTCTTCTTTTTTTTTAAGCCCCCTTTTCCTTTTTTTTTTCTTTTCCTCTCGGTCCCTTTGATGCCTCTTTGTTTTTTTTTTTTTTTTGTTTTGTTTGTTTGTTTTGCTTCTTCTCCTGCTCCCCTTCCCTTCTTTCCGCAATCCGTCAGATGTTTTTTGTCTCCTCCTTCGGTTTTTCTTTTTTGTTGTTTTTGTTGTTGTTTCCTGCACTCCGCTCGCGCGGATCTCGTCGTCCCGATGGTGTTGTTCACGAGAGCACACACGCAGCCGGGAATGGGAGCAGCGCACCAAAAGGCAAGACTCGCTTGGGCGATAGCAGGCGCAGCAGGAAAAAAAAAAAAGAAAAGGAAAGAAAAAAGCATGCACTCACACACTCACATACACAAAAAAAAAGGGACAACACAACACACGGATGCCACGCGGTGCAAACGCCACGCGAGGAAAATACACACGCACACACACACAAAAAAAAAAAAAAAGGATAAATAAATAAATTGAACCCTCAAAAGAAAAAAAATGCTCAAAACTCCTTTTTTATTTCCGCACACGTTTCACCCTTTATCTCTCGGCACATTTGTGTGTGTGTGTGTGTGTTTGTTTGTTTGTATTCTTTTTCATTTATTCGAACTCGTCATTTATTCATTTCATTTTTCTCCACTTTGTTATGTCTTTCCTTCCATCTCCCCTAACTTTTTAATGAACACACGCACAAACCGCAAGAGAAAAAAAAAGGGAAACAAAAAAAAAAAAAAATTGAGCGGAAATTCACGACAAACTGAAGTTCTTTCGGCCCTCCGTAATTGCCGTCAGAAGACGTGCCTTCATGACCGCACGCGACGTGTACGGCGGCAACTTAAAGTACAAAAAACACGTGTTGCATGAAGGCAGCGTCTGCTCTCCGCTTCCCTCCAGTTCCTTTCGTACAACGGTGATCTTCCGCCCCAATCCTGCGAGCCCGTTCAGTGGAAGGCGCGGACTGCCAGTAAGAAACTCAAGAAAAAACTGTTGTTCCTCTCGCGTAAACTCCCCACCAACGACAGAAATCATCATGGCCACCTCCCGCGATCCCCCAGAGTAGCCGTGCGCCTCCACAATCGCCGAACGCAGCGCCTCCTCCCCGAAAAGTTGCTCCTCCGTGCTCTCACGTGAGGCTCCACAAAGAATTACACTCATTTCATCGTCTGACAGAAACCAAAAGGCACGAAGATCAATAACGCTAGAGATCCCAAGGGAAAACCAGTAAAGATTCAAAATGGCATGTGACAAACTCTCCTCCACACGTCGCTCCACATATGCCTTTACGGTAGCAGTTGTCAAAACAGCACCATTCTCGTCCTCCAAGTCCATCTCTTTCAATTCAGCATCGGTTGACCTCAGCATGCGTTTATATGTGTTCGCCAATTCCGGCTCCAGTTCAATGAGAAGGGTCCACTTGTTTTTCATGGAAACAGACGCTGAACGGATAAAGGGCCATGCTAGAGGGATCAGACTCACATTCATTGTGTAACCATCTACAAATGCTCGTCCACAGGAAGCACCAAGAACAAAGAACTCTTTTTTATGTACCTGTCGAAGGGTTGGAAAGGCCTCGAGTGCCCCATCGTCTCTCTCATGCCAAAGTGTTGCCATCTCTCGATAGCGTTGAGACAGTTCAGTATATAATTCCTGTGTGGGTCCTTCACCCGTACCCTCCTCTCCCTCAAAATTGAACTCAACCTTATTCCGTATGGAAGGATACTGAACAAAGGCGTTGAACAGTGCCTGCGTCATTGCCCCTGTTTCTCTCTTCACCGTAAACTTCGTTGCCAGCCCATTACTCTGAATTTCCCCCATGACTGTCCCACGCACCGATGCATTCACATCCTGCAAATGGTACAGTCCAAATCGATAACATCCAACGGAAAGAAAATGAGCCGTGTCACGCTTAAAAGAAAGTGAAATATACGGAGAAATCGCCTGAAGCACACGCACAACTGGCATTGGGATACCCGAGACACCCCTTTCAAAAATTTCCCCTCCGCATGATTCCAACACTTCCACAATCGCTGATTCAATCTCACCCCACTGATGCAATGGTCCAAAGGTGCGTAGAAAAACCTGTAGTGGGGAGTCAAGAACATCATTTCCCATGGAATTTGCAACAAGCAAAGGCACTGAGATATTACATTCGCAACAATTACCCATTTCAGCATAGTGCACATCTTCTCCTTGAAGTGTAGAAGAAGAACGCCCGGCGGAAAGAACTCCCTTTGAAGTAAAAAGAACAGAATGCTTTAATTTCCTCTGTGATGAATCCTCATCAGAAAGTTCGTCCCCCCGGCACTCACGCCAGTAACGGATAATATCGCCAACAAGTGCTGAAACATTGACATCCATCCGTGAAAGCTTTGTATTGCTGCAGTCTGAACATAAGTCATAATCACACTCCCGGCAGGCAAGAGAACCAAAAGAATTCGAGTTTGCACATACATTACATCGCCAATTCACACTAAAGTGTACGCAAAGGGGGTGACCTTCGGGGCACAGCACATGATTCATTCCACCTTGTGTCGGCCTACAAATACCAATAAAGTGCGAGAACCCAGACACGCGGCGCGCCAAACTCTTCACTTCTTGATGAGCCACACTGGTTTGATGAAGGATACGAAGCACGTAAGTGTGCGCTGCGTCTCGCATCCGACACACAAGTTGAGGATCCAAATCAATTTCGCTACAAACTCGTTTCAGAGAACTAATTGATAGCGTAGAATCCTCTAAACCTTCAATAAATGCGAGTAACTCCGCGGGAGAAGCGTGTGACAGGAACGAGGGCAACTCCGTCACCGGTGGTATTTTCATTGCGACCACCCGTGGAGAACTTCCGGCGTAACGAATTAGATCGGCGACGGGAGGGCCCTTCTGCTCACTCGACGTAGTAACTGCAGCTTTTTTAGATACCGCAGACGCTGGAAAAGCCGTGAGAGCATCGGCAACACCCGCTTCCAGTAATACCGGGGCCCATCCCTTGTCGTGTTGCATCAGAGCAGAGGAAATCGCCTCCACCACAGGTCTCTTCTGCTCAGCCGAAAGACTTCGAAAAGCGGTGATGACATCTTCCGAGTTGGTAGGTGCTCCGCCACATATTACGTGTAAACGTATGGCTCGTGCCAAGTAAGCCGTCTTTGAATGACCAAACGACAATGGACGTAATGCGTCTTGAAGAAGCGCAGATAATTCTTCACTTATGTGGGTATAAACAGGTGGTATTGAGAGCGCTCCGTCAAACACAACCACGCTAGGTATCGGTTGAAAATAAACCCGCGAAACCACCAGGGTCAATGCGCTGGTATCTGTCATGGTGCAAAGATCAATAACATGACGTTTTTGAAGAACTTTTTTGTTCTTATCAGCCGCAAAAAACATTGCCGTTAGTTTCTGCCGGGTACCTCTCAAGTATGGATAATACTCGCCACCTTCACCACGCCAAGCCCACATGTATTCACCGCAAAACCCAAAATTAGCACCGCAAAGCTTGGACAATAGAACCAAAGAGCTCCAAGTAAGCGGTGGGACGATCCACTGCAAGTTTGGCAACGCCTGAAATGGACTCGTCCTTAAGTGCTCTCTCTTGGCTGCATCCTGACGGGAACGAAGAAAGGGATTCGAGAACCCAGCGACGCGGGTTGAATTTTGCTTTAAAAGCCTTGAAACCCACACAATTGCCTTTTCAGTTGCCTCCATGGAAAGAGAAGATGTTTCCACTAAACTTGCAAGACAGGCCAATGTAAGTTCCATACGGCACTCGGCCGTTCCACTAAAGAGTATGCGTTCACCAATCGCAAGTAAGGCTTCTGTGGTATTATTCAGTGGGACTCCATCAAAAATTATACCAGTCGTTTTCATCGCATTGCTGCCTCCTCCTGATGCCCGACGTCGCTTCCTCAAGGGCAACTGGGTAGCGCACCAGACTCGGTATGTCAGTATCCCCTCCACAACGGTACGGAGTAAATCATCCCACTCGTGGTCAATGTCAACATAACACAGTGAAGCCAAGTGATGTTGAAGCAACTGCAATATTTTTTCGTGGTCTCCCGCGGTTTTTAATTCGCCGCGGCGCATCAACCCGATGCAATGTTTTAAGACTCTACACGAAGTCCATTTGGACTCGTCCAGGGCATTGAAGCAGAATTTCAGTTGCTCCGCAGTGGAGGGCGTAACTGTAGCAACCTCCCGGGAATTTCTGGCGAGCGAAAAACAAGTTAACAGTTCCTCACTTAGTTCCTTTTCACTCATCTTCGTGTATCGCAAATTTACATGACGTTTCTTCACAATCGAAAAAATCGTCTCAGCGCATTTTTTTACCGCCCGTGAGACATCAGAGTTTCCAGAGATTAAAAGACTTCGTGAGAACCTGTCAAGTATGAGGGCCAGGGCCCGGGCTGCCAAAACCAACACATCGCCGTCCTCCTCCGCACGCTGCAGTGAGTCGTTGATGGCATGAAACACACGCTGCACCGGAAGGTCAGATCCCTCCTCTGAAATGAAGAGAACTGTGCATAAGTCCAGGAGGTTCTCGTAGGGAGTCTTTCCGGGCCCACCATCAAATGCAAACAACATTAACTCTGTCGTGCCTTGTTACCACCTCCTTTCACAAACCTCAACAGCATAAAATGGGGAGAATGTATGCGTATGTGCAATAAAATAAAAATAAAAATGCAAATTAAAAGCAATTACGGCACAAAATAATAAATATTGCCGTCAACACATACATATATATAAAGAAAAAAAAGCGACGCAAAAACCGTCAATGGATGTCTTTCCCTCTCTCTCTCTCTCTCTCTCTCTCTGTGTGTGTGTGCATGTGTGCCGCAGCATCAAACAAACACAAAAGCAACAGGAAGAGGACAACTAGTTGTGTCGAAAGAATTTCCAACCAATCCAGCTTAAATACGTGCCAAGAAAAATGACTGGCGGGCACAAGGAAACCAGAAGCGTATAGTACCAGTCAAGATCCATCAGCGAACGGTCACCTTGCTGAGGGGTACGACTACAGCACGCTAAAACGCGTGATACAAACCAAATAATGTACACCCAGGTCGCCACTAACGAAGGCCAACCAAGAAAAATTCGCTTCCATGGCTGCTGCCTATAGTCGGGTGCATACATGGTGTGTGGACAAACTCTCTATGTGTAAATACGTGCAAAAAAACTTTCAAAATAAAAAAGCGCCGTGTGATGGTCGGCCTTCTACTTCCATCTATTTGCGGGTCCTCCCTCTTATTGCCCCGACTTCGTTCCCTTTCGCAACCCCTTAAAAAAAAGGAACTTTACAGGAAATACGGGAGGAAGACACAACAAAAGGAAAAAAAAAAGGGTCAACCAAAAGAAAAAAAAAGGATTCATATTTGTATGCAATAGAAAGAGACTTTGGGTAAGAGGGCGGCAGCGGCAGAAGCAAATGTACGTTCCTCAAGAAAAAGAAAAAAACACCAATCTGAGAAGAAAAAAACGCGGAGTATCGCCTGCTCATAAAAAAAAAAAAGAGGTCAATAGAAATCGAGGCGTCAATTATACTTCCTTGAAACGCCATGAGTCTCTTAATTTCCCTTTCTTTTGCCCATCTTGTATCCCCATCCTCCTTCCTTTCCCTGTCGATTTTCGTGCTTCTTCCCCCCTCTCTATGACGCCTTCTCCGCTCACTTTCGCGTGAGAACTGAAGGCTTTGCCAATTTGCCGTAACGCGGCGTGTAGGCGCCCGGCCCTGGTGGGCCGCTGCAGTAAAGATCATTCCAATGGTTTGAGATGTTCATTCCCCGCTCTCCACGCCGAGACGCCGTGCCACTTGTAATAAGTTTGTTCTTCTGGCGCTGCATAAGTTCTAAATCGGTGCTCAAGTGGTAGACACCTTTATAATTCTGAACAGGAATGAACCGCCGCTCCCGACCAAACGTGCCTACACGAGGATTGTCTTCCAGCAGAAAGGTTCCCATGACAAGTACGCTGTCTCGTTTCCAATCATTCCGCATAGACTCCTTCATCTCTCTAAAAACGTTTTTCTTTAGGGATTTCAGTCGTTCCGCCTCCGAGGGAATACGGCAGCTACGGTCAATGACGGAATGGTTAGAATTACGCGTGGAGCCGATTCGCGTGAGCTGTGTATGGTTGCAGGCAACAGAGTCACTTGGGCCTCCTTGGCTATGCACCGTATAATGCAACGCACCTTCTGGGGTCGTGGAATTACAATTGCTAAGTATTTTTTTACGCTGCTCCTCAAGCAACGCACGACGCTTCCTTAACATGACCAGTTCCTTCTGAATATCCAACAGCTGTGAAGTTGTGCCCGCCTCGGTATCGGTGGCGTCCTCTGACCTTCTGTAGGTTCCCTGCATGCGTCTAACAATCCGAGATGCAATTTCCCTCCAACACGCCTTAGCTATATTTTTTTTGTTGTCGTCGTCGTGTTTCATTCGGTCGCACGAGAAAAGAAAAATAAAAGGCAAAAGAAAAAAGAAAAATACCATAAAATAATAATAATAATAATAATAATAATAAGAATAATAATAGAAAATAAATAAAATGCTGTGAACCGGTCCTCCACACTGTTTGGATGATTTCTTTCGTCTTGCCGTTATTTTTGCCTCGAGCTTCATTCCGTTTGCTTCACACGCCTCTTCTATATTCGATGCTGATGAAAAAAGAAAAGAAAAAAAAAAAAAAGAGCCGCAGAGAAAATTGCCACTAAAACCCCTTCCGTTGAAAATCCGTTGAGAAATTATGCAGGCCCCTAAATTCGCCGCTTGCACAACACACAAACCAAAAAGAAAAAAAAAAGACTCATATATATATATATGTATATATTTCTTTTCTTTCCTTTACTGTGTGTCGGTGTGAGGGGAAAGAAGGAGAGGGTGTTTTGGTGTTGGTGGGGGAGAATATATTCTCAACGGATTTTGCCGCACTTTCGTTTTAATTTTCTTCGCCCGCTGCCTCCGCTGCGGAAACAGCCTCATGACGACAAAAAACGCAAAGAAAAGGAGAATTCACCAAATAATTGAAAGAAAAATGCAAATAAACAAAAAAAAAAAAAAAGAAAATAACGAAGAGCTTAAAAAACAAGCAAAAAAATCTGGGAAAATTGTCTCTTTTTTTTTTTTTTTTTTTTTTCATTTCTTCGCTCCTTCGGCTGCGGATTCCCTCCATTTTCTCCCGTGATTTTTTCCCTTTCTTGCCGTGGCTGCTTCCACTCCGCTTCTTGTGTGGTCGGTGACCTCTGAGATTGTCTCGTGGCGTCCCTGCCGGCGTGTGCATGCAAAAACACATGCACACCTATTTTTGCTCTTCCCTTCGTCCGGCCTGCCTCAAATCCCCAGCCTCCACTCTTGCGGTGCCTGCACTCTGCCTCTCACGTCGGGATTCCATCCGCATGCCGCCCTTCAACTCGCACCCCACACACGCCCCGCAGTCGCCCACAGCGTGAAAAAAAAGACGAGAATGCAGCTGCGATGTTATTGGGGAGGACGGGCAAACGTGTTTCCCCGAGAATGGAGGGTTGCTGCCTGACTGCATCGCGCGTGTCCTTCTCTTACCAGAATGGGGCCCAACCGGTGATATAGGCTTCAGCGAGATTGTCCAGGCTTGTGGCCTCTTGGATGAGTCGATCGACTTGGTGTGGAACGTCCAGGCAGTTGGCACTTCCATTCACCGCCCGCAGAGACAAATATGTCGTCAGCGCCGGGTTACCGATTGCGAATGAGTCTTTCTGGGAATCTCCATAACTCTGCGAGCCGCACGAGGAGGCGTCACCGGATTCGTCGCAGAACTCGCGACGGGAATTCTGCAAAACAGAGCTCCCATTCATTGCATCAAAGTCTTCCCCTGTCAGCTTGGCGCGAACGCGGGCGAGTGCCAGATCACCCTGCATGTTACGCGTTTCCTCCTCGTTTAGCTGATCTAATGTCGCACACGCAACAAATTCACGTACCCGCGCCACAGAGTATGACAATTGCATTTGCGGCTCCTTCGTGTTTGTCTCCCCTGGGTTGAGGAGAGTGTTGTCACCTGTCTTCACATGAGCTTCCGCCCGCGAGGACGACCGTTCGCCGTCGCCAACATTTGCAAGACGCCAGTTGATAAGCGGGTCATAAATAAAGGCCTCAAGAATAGAAAGAAGATTCTCACAGTGCCGTCGCAAGTTCTTCATGACAAGCTCGCACGTCAAGCGATAAACCCCATCGACCCCACTAATGCCAAGGGCGCTAACAAGAAGACGTGTCAGGCGAAACGGTACGGCCTCCGCGTAGAGTGAACGGTGCATGGCAACTTCAAAACAGTCACCGAAGTCAATATGCACAACAGATCCCTTTTCTTGAAGCATCAAATTGTTCAGATGGCGGTCCCCAAGTCCCAGAACGTATCCAACCATCGACATAATCGCTAGGGTATGACCATACGTTCCGCGGTACTCTAACCATTGCTCACACGTATCATTTTTGTCCCAAATAATGCGTCTCAACTCATTATCAGGTGTATTATTAAAGACTTGGCTTAACAGGTTCTTTCGTTGTTCTTTGCTCTGATGATGGTACTCCTCAATGTTCCGCAAAGCTCCATTCCTTACAATCATGCGAACCTCCTCGTAAATAGAAATGCTATGTTCCTTCCGCCGTGTTTCTAACATCCGGTATATAGTCTCTGTGTTTTCGACCCAGCCAATTATACCGACATTGTCTGTTAGCGGAATGACGGCGTACTGGGGAATGCTAAGACCAATGGCACTCGAAGAACTGTCCGCAAAAAAAATGGTGTTGACAAATTCAATAAACTGCATCACACGTTCATCCTGTCGCAAATCCTCATGCCCTTTCAAGAGGAAGCGATACTTCTGCCCGTTGGAAGCATCTAATCCAAAACGACGTGGTTTCTGTTTTGATGGCATGACAATCACAGCTTGATGAAATTTTTGGATTGTGATCAGTGGCTGGCCAAGTACAAAAGAGCCGGGAACGGCCACAATACTTTCCTTGATGCCCCCTAGTGTCGGGGACAAATCCCCCATTAGAAGTCTTCGCTCCCCTGTGGTTTTGTTTAGCTGAACATACACCTGCTTAAGTAAAGACCACGCCTGATCGAGGGTGTTGTTTTGCAACGCCGCTTTGGCGTGTCGCAGTGTTGGACCGTATGTCTTCTCAAAGGCGCATTCATTAGGGGTTTTTGGATTCTCCAACTCCCAAAACAACGGACCAAAAATGCGGAGAATGGCATTTACGTCATTTTGTTTTCCCGCCGCCTGCTGAATATGGCTGTGCCACTTCTCCGCCCACAAAATGGCAATACGCACCATCTCATTGCTGATCAACGATGCTTCACCCACCATGGGCCCATTCGAGACCCGGATGCCCTTCAGCACACGCTCTGCCATCAGTTGCCGGATGGCCTCTGGAGACTTTTCCGTCACCGTCAAGGGATAAATAAGGGCATGTGGATATTTGGATCCAACGCGCACAAGCAGCTCTGTTAGAATCGACCTCGCCACCTTTGCTGTGATTCCAATGCGAGCCACGAGTTGCGGGATCACCTTCAGCCACACATAATCTGGGACCCTGTCAATCCCTTCCTTTATGGCTTCGTTGATTTCCAGCAGCGCACTGTGAGAAAACCAAATGGAAAGTATTCGCAACACATCCTCCATCACGCCATTGCCCTGATTGCTGGACAGTTCCACCGACTTGAAGAGTGCGGTGATCGAACCCACATGATGTGCGGTCTGAACCTCAACCGGCGTATTGGGATCTCGAGACATATCGTAGTGCAAAATACCCAATGAATGAAATGCCAAGTGGTTTCTGGGGCATAATTCGGTGGCCTTCTTCAGTTGCTCAATCGCCTCGTCCCCCTTATCAGGGAACAGATGCATTGTCCATTCACCCAATAAAAGCCAACAGGAACCCCAAGCTTCCGCACGATCATCCCCAGGCGATACCTGCAACCTCGCGAGAATTTCAGAAAGCAAGCGTAATGTTTCACGTCTATTCTTTGTTGTGTAACAGTGTTTCATGTAGACGTGTATAACGTCTGGATCCTGACGGCATAGAGCCTGATAGTCCCCTGTGGGTCCAAGCAACAAATTCAACATGTGATCCGCGAAGGATGTCCATTGAGACTTTGACAGAGCGCGTATGCACATCACCTGCGACGTCAAATCCATTGCGGGAGTAAGCACAAGAGAATTTATTGTGATAAGGGTCTTCACTTGTGCTGGACGAGACGACATGTGTGCCAGACGTGTCTGCCACAATTCCTTTAGCATCCTCTGACGCTCCTCCCCAGAGTTCACAAAGGACACAAGCTCTTCAAAATGTCGCAGATGCTGCAATTCCACCAACATGTCATATGCCCGGTTATAACTCTCCATGAAGGACTCCGAAAATAAATCAAAAAGTGACTCCCTGCGCTCCTTTGTGAACTCAAGAAGTTCCTCATATTGCCTTTGCCTAAACAATGTCGCACAGCGTTCGACCATCCCCAATCGCTCCATCACCCCCGATTGTTCCGTCAACTCATCAAACTGCTGCCACCTTCCCAAAGAAAGCGCCACCTTCGCCTTTAGAGGGGCCACCTCAAATCGGGACTCCCGGTCTAGCTGGTGCCAGTTTCTATTGATAAGGACCTCCATTTCAATTGCTTCACCCAACGCGTCAAGGCAGCGCAAAACCCCTAGTAGGGAAGATGTGTTAATGGATCCATCCGTGTTCATCATTCTAGACTCATAGCGAGCTAATGCTTCACCCCACCAATTTAACTGTTCCAATGCCCCTACCTCGTCAAAGCCAAATTGCTCCGGTGCAATGATTTTCCCAGAAAACTTGGCAGACATTTTCTTCACTAGACCCTTTGCAACCATATTCAACCCCAGGTGATCGTAAAATTCAATAAGCCGTTCTGCCACTTGCAGAGCCGAGCGGACCGCAGCATCCTGACGACCGGAAACCTGCTCACCCAACCCATTAAAGAGCTGATCGAACAGCACCTCATTCAAAAATATGGCTTTAGCGTGCATTTGAGAATCAAAGGCTACACGCGCCAGTACTTCAAGGTCCATCAGCGGTTCAGACTCCGGTTTTCGTTGTTCCTCAACCTCATACTTTAATGTAAGACTAATTTTTTTCTCCCCTCTAATGTTTGAAACAATCTCACTGACAGCCGAGACCTTCTTCCCATTGATGGCGACTAAAAGAGCCCCAACAGGCACTCCCGCCTTGGCGCCCGGGCCATTGGGCTCCAATTTAGTAACCGCAATGCCTCTGGCGTTTTGATCGTAATTAATCCCAAACTTCTTCTCGGTGTCTTCTCGCTCAACCACACAATTCATTGTCTCAATCCTTTTCACAAGCACCAATTCGTTCTTCCCACGCTCAGATTCAAAAAACTCCGCAAAGCCAAACAGTATTTGTTTAATGTCATTTGGAGACATTTCCAAAGCACGAGTAAAGGTGTCCATGACAAGTGCTCTTTGGTTCTTATCTAGTTGCGCAATAAAGGCCGCCGCCGCAAATGAAAACAAATCCCGTGACAGATCACTGTTATATTTGGCAAGCTCGGCTGTGCAACGCAAAGGCTGAATCTGAGAGTTGGCAAGCATCTCCACAGATGTTTTATGCAGCCAGGCAATCCAAGATTGTTCACGTTTCTTCTTGTTAGCAACTGGGATAGTCGCAATCTTTTGCAGAAGCGCTTCATCGACCTTACACTCATTCAATTGCGTTTGATCCAACTTTAAAATACCAAGGTTACGTCTTAGGACGGACTGCGTTTCCTGCGCCTTTCGTGTGAAGGAGCGGAAGTTTGCTGCCGAGTCGTCGCCTCCAAAAAAGCGGAGGTTAATAATTGTTTGACCGCTCGGGTGTGAGACGTCCATCACCTCAAAATCGTCGCCCCCGAGATTGAGTGTGTTCATCATCTCCTCCTCAAAGTCCTTTCGCGAAAGCCCTGGCAGGTGGGACACGACGCTGAGGGGCAAATCAGGGTCGAGTTTATCCTGTTTCGTGACCGGAACGCGAACTTTCAAAAAGCCCCGGGCGGCCGAGTTCAGCAAGTCCGTGAACATGGCCTCTGAAAAGCCTTTTTGCTCTGCAAGTCTCCGGATGGGGAGAATAAACCGCTTCGCCTGACGATTCACCACCTCGACAAGAAAGGCAAGGGTGTTAAAGCCCATCTCCATCTCATCTTGACTTTTAGATTTTTCAATGTACCACATGACGGTGTGCACAATTTCAGCGCAACAGTCCTTTACCAACAAAGGCTGCTTCACCATAATTTGGTTCAAAAAATCAAAGCAGGCCGCGTTGATATCTTTTGCCTTTGGTCGCAAGGCCGACGGCGTTGCATCCTCTGGCTCAATACATTGAAGAACATGCGGTAGAACCACTTGGAGATCCTTCTCATGCAAAACCGCCAAAAACGACTCCAATGACTTCACAGCACGAAGAACTAAGTCCAAATCGTTTTTGTCCTGAGACAAACGTTGGTGAATGAACTCCACCGCCCAACGATGATCCCGCATCTCTTGCGCAGAGAGTCCTCGGGCCACCTCATCGAGTAACTCCACGACACCCGCATTAAGTGGCTTTTGTGACGCCTGTGGAAGCAAACAAAACTGTCGCACCGAGTGAAGGAGCTCAGAGCCTGTGTTTGATGGTATAACGTCCTTGAATTGTCGTAGCAGGGTGGCTAATTCAGTCATAAGAAGAAGAATGCCCTCATATAAGTGATCTCGTTCCGGATCAGCAAGCCACGACTGAAGTTGTGGAAGAAAGTGCGTCAGGAGTATCGCCTTTTGGTTGCCAGGAATTTCACGTACCATGGAATTGATGGTGGCAATCGTTCCCGCCTGCTGCTCAGGATCTGCGCTCTGTTGCAACGTCTTCACCAGTAAATAAAGAACAATAGAGGGATAGCGTTCTGTCATGTGTGGATGTACACGCATACGTGGTTTATAGCACGCTAAGGCAGATGTCACCACTTCTTCCGCCTCCTCAATTTCATCGTCTTCTAGGGCTTTCAAGATGAATCTTAGCTTGACGGGATTCACTGCCCCAATTACACTCAGAGCCTTCATTGCGGCATAATTGACCCCTTCATCCTCCTCCGCCTCGGATCGAATAATGCGTGCGAGCGCGAGATAAACAACGACATAGCTGGACTGTTTCGTTACCCTAATGGTCGTCAAAATAGAGCACAGTGTCTCCAGTGCAGCCTTGCGACGTCTGGAGGAGGTGCTCCCATTGACAATATGAATCACAGGCTGAAGAAGTTGATTGGCATCACAATGATTATGAGGCCCGGTGCGGTCCAAAATGAGTCGTAACAAATTCAACAAAGCAACGGAAAAACTTTTAGAGGCAAACGGTTCTCGCTGCAAACGTGCCAAAACAGCAAGTTCTACTGTCCGGGGTTGCAACAGCAGTCTGTCATGTTCTGCCGTCATCTGCAGGAGCGATGCCTGATAAATGGCAGCGGACATCGAACCATCCTTCGCCTCAATTTCACGTAGCATGTACTCTTGTTGGCGTAGCAATTGGGAGTGAACAATGGCAGGGTTACAAGGATGCAAACGACACAATAAAACCAGCGTTCGATCCCGCGCCCGCCTAGAAACGTCATTCCGCGCCATCAAGAGAGCGTCCAGATGATCCTGAAGAGAGAGATATGCGTCAAACAGAGGGGAAAAACGGCATAAAACGTTGTAGCGAAGTTCCGCATCGCGATCTGCCACGGCCACATCTAGCAGCTTCCCCACAGCGCTTGTAACTGTGTTGTCGAGTCGCTGTGTCAGTTGATGGATATTGTCATTGCTCCTGGATTGTAAAATAAGTTTTTCGCAGAGAATCACAACAGCGTCAACAGCCGCTTGCCGCACTTTCAAATTCTCGTGAAACATCAAATCAATTAATTCCCCTATTTGTTCCGTGCGGCCAAGCGTCGCCAGAAACGGCAGAGCACGCACCAACACATCCACTGGAACATGAGGCGAAATGTCAATCTGAAGCAGCCTAAAACGCTCCCAAATGGATTGTTTGCGATCCCCCATGAATCGCAGCAATGCACTAAGCTTCTGCAGGTTTGTATACTCCATGTCAATCCCAATGATGTCAAAAAGCGTATAAATTCTGGCCACACTCTGTTCCCCACATTGTGCTCGCAGACGCTCCAATGCGTCAAACGGAAGCTGGTAGAATGGAAACTTGACAATAAAATGAGCAATCACGTCCACAGCCAATTCCACGTGTGGCGCAATATTTACTTCACCGAGAATGTCGTATAAAGTGGAAAGAGCAACCACCGCAACGTCTTCCTCCCAATCCGAAAGGTACGACAAAAAGCACCTCATAATTCCGTAGTAAAGTCCCTCATCGTCTCGAAACAAAAGAAGGGCTTTGCCAGTGGCTCGTGGAACCATGATACATACTTCTTTTGGATACGTATTCCAATCACGCTCCATCAAAAACGAATGTATCTTTTTTAAGTGCCACGGTGCACTTTGAAGCGTAGGGGATGCCGCCACTGTTTCAATGGCTGTCAAAAGACCTACAATAATCACATTTTCATCTGCGTTTTCCATAAATTCCGTCATCACAGCAGACATTTGTGTTGCCATAAAAGGAGAAATTTCAATACAGTGTTTTTCAACAATATTTTTAAGCAAACCTACAAGAGCGTGTCGATGCCACATGGAAAAACTTTCAACCGTCTCCCGCAGTAGAAAAAGTGGAGAACAGGTTGCATTCAAACTGTCCAAAAGCGCCGGATTTCTCTTAATGACACTGGAGCTTGTTTCCACCATTGTGGCAAGTATTTGACATCCCACCGCTCTCTCATGCACAGTTGCCCCCTGTCGCATCATAACAATGGCACGGTTCAGGTGCCTACCCAACATGTCGGAGGTGGAACGGACATTCTCCTGTAACACCTCACCCAATTCGTTCAACATGAAAGCGCAATCCTCCTCGCACTTCCCTCGTGCCGCCTGCCGCATGAGAAGAGCCACACAACGGGATCGTTCTTCATGCTGATCGCCAAGATGTGCGTCGAACACAACACGGAGGGCTTGTATGCCCCTTTTGACGGAGCCATCAAATGTCTCATTCACAAGCTGAAAAATGTGGTCCAGAAGGCCCAGCTCAATTATCTCCTTGGTGTGGGCAACCAGGAGGTCCAGAAGGTCGGAGAGGCATTCGTTCACACGCCGCAGGCGACTCTCCGGTGCGGACTGCAGGTTGCGAAAAATAATCGAAAACTGTCTTCCCAGAGCAGAAGCGCTCTCCTTGAAGAAACGGTCAATGGAAGGCTCCGCTGCATCCGTCATCACAAACCACCCAAAAATGAGAAATGCAAACACGGCAGCAGCAGCAGCAGCAGCAACAAAAACAACAACAAAAGGTCCTTAATGCCTCTCTCCCCCCCTCCCCTCCTTTCCTTTCGCACTTCTACCTTCTCGTCGGAAACACGGATTTATGCGTGTGGGCCTTACAACGTGAGCGGCAATGCCCCCTCCACTGCACGCACTCACAAAAAAAAAAAAAAAAAAGAGAGAGAGAAAGAGAAAGAGGAGGCCAAATTTGGTGCCACACAAACAATGGGTTTAGGGCAATAACGGAAGAAATCAAAGGGTAAAATATAATAATAAAGCAATGCTTCCAAGACTATTCCAAACTATACCCCTACACCTCACCTACCGGCAGGAAAAGAGAAGGCGGAAAAGGTGGTGGTGGCAACGGTAGGAGCAGCCATCGCAGTGGAAGAACAACAACAACAACAACAGGAAGAAAGAGAAAAAACAGGTAAAATAAAAATCGAAAATGGTACTACGGAAATAAATGAAAAAAATAGTCTGCCGTGTTTTTCTTTTTTTTTTTTTTTTTTTTCATGATGGCAAGCGCAAAGTGCGTATCAAAAATCGCTTTCACGGAAGGTATGTGCTGTTTTTTTTATTATTATTATTATTTTCCCTTCGATCGATCGCACTTTTTCTTTTTCGCTTGTCGTCTCGCTCCCGCTCACACCAGACAACAGGTACAACGTGCGTACATGAAACAGGGTGAATGCGCACCTACCAGTCCAACAAGGCAAAATCAAATAATAATAAATTTTCAGAAATAAGCAGCGTAAACGAAAGGAAATGGGAACAAAAATGACAAATAAAAAAATGCTTTAAAAAACAATTAGAAAAAATAAAAAAACACATTCCGAACTGCACACACATACAATGCGTACATACACATACAGCGTTATAATATACTAAGATCAAACGCAGCCACGATCCCTTGGGGGGATACATCGAGAAAAGGAAATGCGATTTGTGGGGGTAAAGGGATCCCCTTAAAATTGACGTTAAACATAGGTAGAAAGACCCACTTCAAAAGAAAACGGACTTTTTCATTCAACGCTTTCTCATCGATCGGACCAACACTCGTCTTCAACACCTTAAGCGTCACATTCGCCTCGGTTAGGCGGAAGTAAATGGAATGTAACAGAGTGACTCTGAGGTCTGAAAAACCACCCGTATAGTTCACAAGCGTCTCCAAAACTGGAACCTGTTGGCCCGCTGCAGAAACCATTCTTAACCCTACAAACCCGTTCAGGATGTCAAAAATAACCGTTCGGTATGGCCGAAAAATAGCACGTGGCGGTACTGTTGGAGAAAATAAAGCAGCAAAGGAGCAATTTGGACACAATTTATACAACTCGGGAAACATCTCCTTAATAAGGGAGGAATTATACTTGGATGGAAACGCCACGGTCTGATTCAAGTGGAAGCTACGGTTGAGGTACAGCAAAATCTCGTTGAAAGCGGTTTCAGTGAAAAATATTTCCAGGTTACGCCTCCAAGGAGGTGAATCCAAATTAGAAGGCATCCAAGGCGACGAAATGACCGGCAAAAGTAGCGATGACACCTCCTCCGATTTTTCAGAACGGGAGTCGGAATTCATGGCAATTTCCAACCGCTTTTCAGAGACGTTCGGACCGTCCACAACGTGAAATGGCAACGAGTTGAAGAAGGCATCCGATTTCTCTTCCAACATCGAACCAATCATCTCGGGTACCTTCTTCATTGCCATCATCTCAATGATCTTGTCAAGATCACCAAAAAGCGCCTCAATGACCTTTTCCATTTCACTACAAAATCCCCCAGTGAAGGAGTGCTCAACGAAGAGTTTCAACCACAAAATATCGACCCCTAAATTCTTCAATCCAACCTTGCCATTCGGCTGAAGAAGCACCATCAAGGAAACTTTGATACTCAATATCTTGACGGAAAAACGTAGTATGCCGTTGCACCAAAACAAACCCACCCAGACACTGAAAAGGGTCTCGGGAATGGCAACTTTTAGATCATACAGCGAGACATTCAATCGATTGGGGCTTTCCATGGCGACGAAGACAGAACCAACTCCAATTTCGGTGAAGTTAACTTCGTCAATGTAAAGGTTGCCCTGTTCATGCGGAGGAAGCTTAAGCCCTCGCAAAAACACATTTAGCCACGGAAGCAACAAAAGCATGGCCTTGTTTAAAAAACTTTCTTTCACAGAAATTGTGAGGTTGCCTTTGGGAGCTGGCAATCGCACCTCCTCACGAGAGTCCAAGACATGCCGCGCGGAAGAAGCATGGCTGCAGTCCATCGCCAAAATAAGCATCATAAGAAGAAGAAAAAAACCGCACGAAGCAAAGTAAAAGGATGACATTGCTGGCCACACTTACTCTTCACTGCCTGTTGCTTCTCCTTATTCCCCGCAAGAGGAAGAGGAATCATTTGGCATTCCACCAATATATATATATATACCAAAGAAGAAAGAGGAACAAAGAAGGAAAGAATCAGCAATAAGGAGACAAACGACGGCAAAGAAAAAAATCCCCAGCCCACTCCAAAAGCAAAACAAAAATATATATATATATGGCTGTGAAAATATTATTACTTCATAATTATATCAAAACAGGGTGTGAAAAAAAAAAAAAAAAGGAAAAAGGGCGTTACAGGAAAGAAACTGTACTTCAGAGTGTGCGTAACCAACAAACACAGTCAAGAACAAAAGGGGAAGAAGCCCAAAAAGTAAATAGCAGACATTAAGATGGGAGGGGGATATGAGTAAAAAAAAAAATCGCTCACGCCCCATTCCCCCGAGGCACCGAGGGATTTTCGCCCCCGTAACTTCTACACGCGAAAGTGTCCTGTGGAGAGTATAGAAGTCCCTTACAGAATATGCTTCTTTCATTCTTGGAATTGTCCAACAAAGAAAACGAAAGATCAACTAACGCAACATCTTCTGCAAGTAAACGAGGAACGTCCACATCGGATGAATCACTAGCACCCCTCAAAACAGACACCAGACGTCGCACTAACTCCAGGATGATTCTCAAAGAGTTATCGCGTTTCGCTGGTTCATTAAAATCCTCCACAAGTACAGCATGCCTTGGTTGTCGCCAAATGGACCGTGGACTGTTCTCAAGCATTAATACTCGATTTAGCGGTCGACCGAGAATTGACAAGTCCTTCGCGTCATCTTCCTCATCACGATACCACTTGTGATGACGACTGATGATGTGGTGGAACCAATCCTTTCGTTGCAACACATCTGACACGGCACGGACAACGTTGTTCACGTGCAACGGCGATCCGGCTGACCACACCACTACTTCGCAGCCCTCCATGTGACAGGCGTCAAGGAATTCTTTTAAATACGGCCGAAGGTACACTGATCCTCTTCGCGCCCAAACCAATGTTTCATCCAAGTCCACTACAATGCAGAGAGGAGACAAAGGCAAGCCCTTGTCAGATGGGAGTAATGTCTTGTCCTGTCGACGCCGAAATCCTTTCCCCCCAATACCGGGAAGCATTGCCTCTGCAAGCATCAGTCCCGGTGTCACGGAAGCACCAGAAGTTGCAAGGCGAGAAGGTAGCATAGAAACAACCTTTCGTGCCTGTCTTCTATGGGATTCTTTGGTCGTGCGCGAATAACCGAAAAAAGGCTTTACGGCGTGGAAGATAGACACGTGATTAAACCCACCCTCCTCCTCCTCATCGTCACTTTCCAAGAGAAACTCCTGAATGACGTCATTTATTGCGTCAAAATCAGAAAGGACAGAGCTATCCTGCTCCCCCCTGTCGTGAAAGTCATCTGTGGCAATGAGGCAAAGCTCGGCGGCCGAGGCAGATGAACACACCCGAGAAGAATTTGTCAACCGCTGTTTTTTTCTTTTCCTTCGGCGCTCCAAATTCAAAAATCCCCCTCCCCGACGGAAATTCCTGTACCCGCTGCCAGGTGGCCCCGCAGAACGTGTGTGTCGTGCTCGTCCAGTGCCCATTCTAAAGGGTTCCTGGTGTGAATATTGCCCACTCTTACCAGCCAGCGTCTTTCTATTTCTAGCCCATGCAATCCGCAGTCTCAATAAATACCAACACGCACAAAAAAAAGGAAATTCTTTTTTTTTTACTATTTATAATGGGCGCACAAAAAAACTAGACCAAAAGAGACCCGCACACACGTAGAGAGTGGATGGGCCATGGAAGTGAAGGAGGATGAAAGACTAGGCGTCAGATGCCTGCAAATTGACATTCTTACCCTTCCACGAATTCGCAAGTTCAAGAGAAATAAAAAGAAAGTAAAATATGCACAGACACTTTTTCACTATCCTGTTGTTGTTGTTGTCCCCCGCTTTTTTTTTTCTTTTTCAGCGTCGGCCTCATTTGCAGAAAGCGAGAAGGGATCTGTGTCCGTGCGTGCATTATTTGGTGAATATGCCCTCTTCCTCCAGCTCCCTCCGCCGGATGCGCTCATCACGCGCCTCAATTTTCTTCTGATCCTCCGTCGCCACGTCATAAGGATTACCGCGAATGCGGTATCGTGGGTTGGTGGCGTTCACTTTGCACAGCGTCCAGTTTCGCCGCTCCAAGAAGCACTCATTTGCCGAAATGCAATCCTCTATTTTTCCCTTCTCTTCAAAGCACTTTGTTCCGACGATGCATTCAATAAGCGCATTTTTTGGTCGCCAACAGATACTCTTCCGCTCCTTTTCCATCTCATGCTACCCGGATGCCTACTCGTCTGAAGATAAAGAAAAGAATACAAAACAAGCTTACATGACGCAAAAACAACAACAACAAAAAAAAAAAAAAAGATGGCAACAATAACACGATACGCCTCGCCTCCTCGCGCTACAAGGTGTGAACACCCCTTGTAATGTGCCATTCTATAGCATATACATCATATATATGTATATATATCACAACATCACCACAGCAAAATAATAACAATAATAATAATAATAATAATAAGCAACAAGATCACCCTCGAAACAAATCAAATAAAGGGCAACATGGCAGTTTTTCCCTCAGTTTCCTCTCCGGTTCCTTTTTCCCTTCATTCCCACTACTCATTGCCTGCTTTTCTGTATTCCCCCATGCCTTCCTGTTCGTGTGCCCAAACAACAAGAAAACAAGAAGCGTGAGTATCGCATTGTGGGTCCTTCAGTACGCTCTCGTTTCCCACGACTTAGTCGGAACTCGATGACGTTCCTTTTGGCACGAACACCTCCGTAGGAGCCTTGGGAAAAATGACGCGAACGGTGGTTCCCACCCCCTCTGTCGTATACAAGTCTATCCTCCCGCCCCAGAGGTCCATGTAACATTTGGAGGCAGGCAAGCCGATGCCAAAGCCGCCCATTTTGTTGTCAAAGGAAGAGTTTGTCGTCCAGCCAAAAAGCCAAAGTTTCTCCACGGCATCAGGAGCGATACCACCCGCCGCATCCGTCACATCCACCACAACATGTGTGTCGTTTGAGGCAAAGCACACTTGAAGCTCAATCGAGTTTGTCCGTGAACGCATTGCTAGACAAGCGTTTTTCATCAATTCCCTAAACACGTACTCCAAGTGTCCTTCGACAGAGTATATCACCCTCGATGATGGCGCAGGTGGCATGGAAGTTGTAGGGAATATAGGACAATCAACTTTGCTTGACGTCGCTAGTCGCCCACTCGGGACGCGTGTGAATAAATCGGGCTGCTCCTCCATATGAATGAACATGGATCCACCGTGGATGGATTGGATGCTGCGTACATATTGTTCAACAACAACCGTGCCTGTATGCCGCAAGATGCTCCCGACGTTCGGGTCTGTTCGAATAATCGGTGAGTAACGTCCTGGTCCAACAAGATGAAGAAGATGCTCGTGAATGACACGCCAGGAGACACGTCGTGTGCAAAAACGCGATAGCCAGTTGTTGAAGTTCGGTGAGCAAATCCATTCTTCATTGACGACAATATCAAAGAGGTTCTCATGCGGACGCAGGCTCTCCAAAACATCAATCAAACGCTTTACTGATGAGTCACCGCCACTATTACCGCTACCACCGTATCCTTCCCCTTTCATAATGCTGTCGACCTGTGCATCATCAATAATTTCATTTGGCTGAGAAGTATCTGCGTCGCATATCTCTCCGCGCTCCATTTTGCGAAGATAGACTTCCGCCAGCTCGCTTAACTCCACACAGCATTCAAACTCCCTCCTGCATATGGACTCCAGTGGCGACAGCCGTGCATTAATTTCCCGATCTAAACTTCGCTTTTGAACCTCACTATAAATGGCACGGTAGCTGCGAGCTGTGCGTGCCCCAAGCTGCTCCACCGCAGTGTGTATATATCCCTTATCATTCCCTGCCAATGTGCGCAGGTTCATGGGCCGAAGAGGCGTAGCCAAGCACTTCTCAAAATGTCCCCGCAGAGCTTCATAAGGACGCCTAGGAAGTGTCATGCCATTCCTATTCCAATAAAAATAAAATAAAATAAATGAGAAAACATTTTCTTTTTTTTTCCTTCTAAAAGGCCCAAACTCTCATACTGAAGCCACCGTGATAGAAACACACACATAAAGGAATGCCACCAAGGCAAAAATAAAAATATACATGAGAAACCACCTTTTTTCTCCCTCAGCAAAATATATATATATAATACTGAATTTATCTCTGAGTCACTTCCGTGCGTGAACAGAACGCTGACGGTACGCCGCTCGGCCTTCATCCCGTTCACGCGCCATCACCTGCTCCTCGTCCGCCCATAGAAGTATTTCATCAGCCAAGTGCTGCTCAGCCAAGGCATCCCACCAATCCGAGGCCCGTCGACATCGCTCCTGACATTGAGCACGTATACAATCCCTTTTCTCTAAAAGCACTAGCTTCTCCATGCCAAGACTCCATTGGTCAATAATCGTTGTTCGCATTCCGTCATGAAGTTGAAACAGCGCCTCCGCCTCCTTTTTTTGCTGCTCCTCCAAAGCCAAACGCTCCTTGCGCTCCTCCTCGGCACGGAGAAGGCTGGACAGGGCTATGTTCGTGGAAATCAGCTCGCCGTCAACACGGATATATGGCGAGACCAGTTGTTTCGCCGTCTTTCCTGGGCCTTTGGCATTCTCCTTCCACTGGGCCGTGGAATATTGCTGCGATCGTTTGGTGGCAGCGGCCTTCTCCTCAAGCTCCAGTTCGCGGCGGTAGTCCAACAGCGTACAGTCCGCCAGGTGAACCCCAGCCGCCTCCACATTTCGCCTCATCGCTCGCCTCTTCTTAGCTCCTTCGCCAGTTAACACTCCAAAAGAAAAAAAAAAAGAGTGGGGGGACGTCGTAGGCAAAATAAAAAAAGTCGACGCAGCACAGACAGAGGAAAAAGCAAAAAAAAAAAAAAAAACTACAACAACAGCAAAGAAGAGAAAATAAATTATATCCCTTTAAACTTCTGCACCAACCACAAGATCATCGTCCAATTGCAGCACGATGGAGATAAAAACGGCACCTTACCAGCGATAGGGTCCCCATCGCGATGCCGCCCAACAAAAAAATACAAACGCGGAAAAAAAAAACAACTAACGCCACCGGAAAAAATTTCATCATTGAAGAAACGGATCACCAAATGCAGACCCGCAACTTGCCGGATCACACAAGACACTCCTATTCTGCACCACCTCGGAGACAATTCTGTGCACTCCCTTCAAATTGCTTTCAGCCAATATGTTCTTCGTCAAAAGCGTGACTCGCCAATATAATTTTCCTCCCTTCTCACGACTGCGCTGTTCCATTTGTAGTTCAATATCCAATGAAGTAGAGCCGTAGTAAAGCTCTGCAGCAAAAGCTGTCAGAGCCACCACCGAATCAGTCAACACCATTTGTGGAGACGCCGTTCGAGCATTAAACCCGGGGAACAACGATTGCAGCTGTGGAAATGTTGTGATCCTGTCGCGGTCCTTGGTCTTCACCTCAGCCTCGTACAAGAATGCCCGACCACCGTGGGTATGAATCGCCATGACGTCATATGAAACCTTCTCGTAGTCCACATTGGGCAATGCCTCCATGGAGATTCTTCGCTCTGTCTGGCACACGCTGTGCTCCAAATATCGCAACCGCCACGTCACGCCAAATTCGTCCGGCTTTCGAAGAAGACGAAATCCGGAGTTGAACAATGTCTTCTCAAGTGTGTCAAAGACATCAATTCGTGTCCTGACTTGTGACTTTATCTCTAACGGCTCAGCATGCACTCCATTTCTTTTGAGAGCATCGATCAAGGCGTCAGCAAAGCTGCCGTTCTTTATCTCCGCTTTTGCGTACACGTTAAATGCGGCGGTGTTAGCCCGAGTTTGGCATATTGCTTCCTGTGTCTGAATTGAGACAATTAACACAAAAAAGGCAATAGCTATGACAGAAAAAACCATCAGGAAACTTGCTGTGCGCTGTTGCATCAGCAACACCTCCCGATAATTGGGTATCGCATGGCTCTCTCGATTGTGTCCCATGAACGCAGAGCGTTCGATATCACGTTAAAATAAAAACTAAAAGAAGGAAAAAACAACAGGAAAAGAAAAAATATATAATAAAAAAGTGGTGTTGATGATGCACATTTTCTGTACTCAGGCATCAAAATGTACCAAATCATATATATATATATATACCGAAACTCTTATGCTGCGTGTTTCTGTGTTATATATTCTCGGCAGCGCAAGGCAGGAAATATACATCCGCGCTCATAAAAAGAGAAACAACAACACTGCTCCCGCTCTCCCCCACCCTAACCCCAAATGAAGAGCCATCCGGATATACATCAGTATTCTGTTTACATCATAGTCAAATATGTTCCTGCTTGTCTTTTAGGACCCATAAGGGAAAAAAAAATTCAAAGGTAAAAAAAAAAAAAAAAATGGACTGGAAGGCAAATGCAAAAAAAAATTATCTCTTTCATTTTTGAACTTTGCCCTCTTACATTTTTTTTTTTTTTTTTTTTTTTACCTTCGTTCTCTCTCCATCTTCTCTTTGATTCAAATAAATAAAAATAAAGAAAAGATGGAAAATATAAGACACAGGGAAAACAGAGCAGACATCTCTATCTTTAATGGAATTAGTCGTCCGAGTCAAGAATAAGGGCAACGGACTCTAGTGTCCACAAGGATGAGTGGGCATCTGTCGACAGATCGGCTTCAAATATCAAGCCAACGCCAGCCGCATTTCGACGGTCCGAAGTGACGTAAACTGGTGTTCTAAATGTAGCCACAGATTTTACCTTGGATGACTCAGTGGGGATAATATGCATCACTGGCATTTCAGAGATGAGTTCCTTCTTGCGCTGCGGCGCAAGGCAGCGCCTGCTTGTGTCCCACCTGGCACCCTCAATAAAAAGTCCACTCACATATGCCCCGTCCTTTGGTCGTTCTTGGATCTCCTGTGGAGTCATGTAGGTAGTCACCTTCGTAACGACAGAAGAACGATCCAACGGCCACTTATATCGTCTGCAAACCACCTGCACAAGAGCGGAAATATATGACTCTGGAACCATTAGCCCCGACATCCACATGCACCGCGGCTCCCCGTTCATGGCCCATTCATTGTACTGCTTGCATCGGAGGTGGAAGTGGGCTAACCAACGGCCCAAATTCTTTCGTGTAGCAGGCGCCATTTTTCTCCAGGACCATGGCAACTGGCCGTTATGCAAAGAAGATGCAAGATCATCCAAATCATTACTCATACCAATGGCACCTGAAAGAGCCTTCTGTAGTTCCTTTAGAGAAATAATCATAACTCCCACCAGTCGATTCCAACGCTCTATTTCTTGCAACAATACGACTTGAGTCGGTTGCAAATTACTGTGTCCCATCTCATTTGCCCGTTCCTTTTCCTTCCGCATAATTCGTTTGCGATCTAAAGGCTCCGGTAACTGCGACAAAATCTCATCCGTGAGCTTTAACAAAACATCTTCTCGTGACTCCCCACCAAGTGTTGCCGCTTTTCCGGATCGAGGCATAAGTTCTATCAAACTCGCCCACATTCCTTCAGCTGCGTTACGCAAATAACCCGTTTCCGCATTCGGATGCAATCCAAAAACCTCAGGCGTGTTATCTTTTGGAAAGGACTCCACGAGTGCCATCATCTGCTGCAGAGTAACCCGTTTATTTGAATCCGTACTATCCGCAGGAAGACAGTAACTAACTTCATCATTCACATAAAAGTAAAATGGCTGAAAGGTATCAAAAAGGAAATCACCAAAATATTCCTCCAAGTATGTCTTTACTATGCGTCGGTCCATACTGTCCGTCACACGACCACCATACATCGCTTCACCAACAAGATACCGCAGGGTATCCCATGGAATAGAATCACCATTTTTGTACGCCTTTGTCAAGTAGGTATCAAGTAGTCGCATCGACACGGAGAAGTCGGTCTCATTAAAGTCATACACCACGTTCCATCCAATCTTACCATATTTTCTTCGTTCCTGTACCACAGCATGAAAAAAGGCAAGGGTAAATACCAGTGGTCTAAAGGCGGTGTGCAAGCATGCATCAAGTTGCTCCTCAGTTACCTTCAAAAGGGTGTTTTTCATATTCATCTTAAGTCCGTTTGGTGGTTCGTTAACAACCTTCAACGATCGTTGAAGAATACCCATTGGGAAGTCCTTGCTGGGCTCTGTGGTCAACCAAAGGCGGAATTCTTCTTGGGGTGGCGTCTGGTCCATCTTCTCAATGACCTTCTCAAGATCTTTCATCCACTTTGTTAACAAATGACAGTTCTGCAGCAAAACCCAGTGTCCCCGAACAACGCCCACCTCCACAAGTTTCATGGCCTCTTCGCCCTGTCCCTGGCCAAGAGAAATGGAACGAAATTTTTGAATCCCCACTTCTTTTGTCGCAAGTTTAATGATCTCCTCTGTCGGGTTGGCACCAGGAGACACAATGAACACAATGGGAGCTGTTGAGGAGCTTTTGTCAAGAACATCCTTATAACGCAAAATGGGTGGAATGACATAACGCTCTCCAAGAAGGTCACAATTGCTGATAAAGTTTGTAGCGGCCGTGTAAACACGATCACCACGGAAGCAGCGAAGCAAACAAAGAAGCTGAAACTCACTGATACGCTCATTATACCCACACGGGATGACACTACTTGGGTCCTCAGGACGATCTAACGCATACCATTGATGCCATTCTTCCAAATTTTCCGATACGTCATTGCGTAAATTGGCAAAGACCTGGCATGTTGTCGACAACTTACATATATCATTCCATTGACGCTCTGTAAGCCATTCAACAGGATTGGACGGATAATCCTTTGAAGCCAAAACGCAGCCACGAAGAAAAAACTCCAATTCACTTCGATCCATTCGATTTTCCTGTGTAAGAAGACGGATAGCCATCTGAAAAGAAAGCATGAGTTTATCCTTTTCAAAGATGCCCATACACACGTAGCAATAAAGATTGTATGTTAGAGCTCGAATAATGTTATTCAAACGATCTTTAATCTCAAAAGAGGCATCACTCTTTGTAATGGAGTACCCAAAGACATCGTGCAAAAAGGCGGAAAGCGAGTACTCATACATGGAATTAATCATTGACAACTCAGATATGACAAAATATAAAACGGCACCCCGTCTAGCCGCAGGACGGTACTCTTGTCGAGAAATTTCTGTGACACGTGCCGTTTCTTTTGCCTGTTCAAGTTTTTGCTGCACCTCCGATGCGCTGCTTTTCGTGTTCTCCAGCGTCGCAATCAAATCATCGTTGTCAAGTATGTTGCCTGTTGCTAGCGTCAGCTCACGGATCAGAGTATCCTCAAGCTCCTTCAGTTGCGCACGACTCTCTGCCATGGTCTGTACAAGTTCCTCACTTTGACGTTGCAGGTCGCTACGTTCACTCGCCACAACGTAGTTGAGCAGCTGACTCTCAAGACCATCCTCCGTGACACCGTAGTTGATCACAATAGTTTTGCCAAACACCTCAGCTGGATACTCTGGATTGGGCAGTTTGGTGCAGAGATACAGTTTAAAATTAGGGTCCCATACAACGTCCTTGTCGCCAATACGTATGACACGCTGGCCAGAATCCTCACGGAACTGTGGGTCCAGCACAGAATCAATGATGGGGTCAATAAACTCGTCTACACCCTCAAACAAAAAGGGATTGCCATACTGAATCGCAAACTCAAGCCGTTTCAAAAAATCCGAATCACTGAAGGAGGCGCACTCAAAGCGTGGGTTTGACTTATGTTGCCGCTTGATCCAATTCACTGCCTGCATTTGTGGATCAATGCAAAGTGGAAAACGAACCCGTCCAGACTTCCTTCCTTTTCCGATGCTTTCTGTACTCATTGTTGTGAGGATGCCGTTCTGCACAGAGAGAGAATCCAGTGGAAGACCATCACTTGCCCACTGGGAGACGGAGACCTCATCTGTAAGGAGGTGTTGAATCTGGAAGTCATTGGTGAGTGGGATGCCCCGCTCATGAATGTCTTTTAGCCACAGCGACTCCAATGCCTCCTGTCGGTACTGAAAAGTAAAGGCACCAAGATAGGATAGGAAAGAGGCACCCGCAAGGCAATCCCCAACAAGACAATTTCTTACATCAGCCAACGTTCGTTTTTGCTCCGCCCATCGTACACGTTCTGAGCCAAAACCGTCAAGTAGACGTCGGGCGGCATTAAGCCGACGTTCCATCACGGCTTTTTCTTGCTGCAGCAGCTGGGCCTCGTGCATACCTGCATCTAAACGCTCCTGAAGTCGTTGAAGACTCACAGTCAGCTGACCAATCTCATCTTGACAGGCACTTAATTGGCGCTCTGCATTTGCCTTCGCTTCCTGCAGCTCCCGCACTCGAGCTTGTTTGGGCAAAACCTCCTTTGCCGTGTTCCAGTAGGCTTTCATCGCCTCTACCCATATCATCAGACCTGATGCGGCCAAGCTCACCTTCTTTAAATCGTTTGAATTAACAGGGAATTCTTTTAGAATTCTATTAATCTCATTGATCTTACCCTGATTCAGTGTTGGGGCAAGAGAGTCTATGTCAATAAGTGAACGAATGAAATCATTTTGGCCCATCATAATCTTGCCAGAATCCCATGTCGCCGGCACTCCCTTCACGACACATACCATGCGCACCACCGCCACAACGCTCGCGGGTGGTTTGGCAAAGGACTTTAATTCGGTGATACTCTTGGGGTTGATGTGCTTGACCGCCTCCATGGCCTCTTCAAGGGCAGGCATAGCAAGGTCGAGAACCTCTTGTGCCTCGGCACTCTCCTTCTCAATCTCCGCACTTTGCACATTCAGTGATTCCTCCATGAGCAATGCTTCTGCCTTGCGCTTTTCATTCCGTTCCTTTTGTTCTTTAATTTCCTTCGTCATGCGTTCGTTAACTTCCTGCTTCTCTTCCAAAATGACTTCCTTCTCGGCGAGTTCCTCCTGAAGAACTTTCACATCCTCCTGGGCACGGTCGAGTTTCTCTAGACCAATCGCGAATTTATTCACCAAATCGTCAATTTCCTCTCGGCGTGTTATAAGGAGCCGCGAATAATTTGCCAAAAATCCAAGAAAATTCTTCGGCGTGACGTAATTGTGTCGTTTCATTTCCCCCAAGAAACGCATAGAAAGTTCATCCGCTGTCAAGTGAACATACACGGCATGACTCGCAATGGCCCTTTTCAAATCCTCCGACAGTTCCTCCTCCTGCAGCATGCGATTACCAACCGCCTCCAGCGCCTGCGATGGCCACTTCTGAAACCAATCGATGGTTGTATTGTTGATAAGACTCGGAAAGTTACGGCAACGGGTGCGCAAAATATCACCAGAGGGACTCATTGAAAGCACAACATGCAAGTTATCGCGGCAACGTGCGACAAAGGCCGTCCACTTGTTATCTTTGGAGGGCGCAAGACCATCGGCCTCCACTTCCGCAGCAACACTGCTGTACAACGGTTCCTTTTCTTCCTCTGTGAAGAGCGCTGGCACCATACCGGACGTCAACATGTTGTTGATAACTTCCAAAAAACCCTCTTCCTTCACGTGGCTGTCGGTAAACAAAAACACAACTTTCTCCTTCTGTACACCGACACGGGCATAAAGGCGTTTTAAATCCTCGCGAAACGCATCCTCGTTGTAGTTACGGGAAAGTACAATTTCAAACACGCCCATCCGGTACATGGCGGCTGCCAATTTTGTGAGAGACTGTTTGCCACTTCCACCAACGCCAATAAGCAGGCAGTTGCCACGGGGAAGAGAAAGAACACGAGTGATGCGCAGCAGGTGATCCAACGCCATGTCAAACATCACCAAATCCATCGTTTTCGTCGGTGTGTTAATCTCCTCCAACATCATCTCCACCAATGAGCGCGCCCTGGTAAAATCCGCTCCAAAATCTTCGTAAATGTTCAGCCGCTCCACATCGCTATCAGGCTCAAAATCACCAAAATCACCAAACAAAAGAGGTTCCGCCAATGCAAATTCCGCCGTGTCTGGGAAATGCCTCGTAATCTCCTTCCGTGCGAGAAGCGCAACAAACTCCTTGTCGGAAGAATCTGCCATACGGTCCATAAACACATGGGAAATTTCATTAAGCCATAATCGCACGATACTCTTCGCGTCTGGAAACATCTCTGGGGTGGCTCGGCAAAGTCCTTCATACACACGCGATAAATCACGTAAGTTGAAAATGTAATGGAATTTAGTGGGTGTTGCGGGAAGTGCGGCAAAAAGCTGTTGATACAGGCTAAGCGTCATGGATGTGAGTTGACTCGGCAAATCACCCAACTCAGTCGCCATTGTTTTATAGGCATCGCGCAAAATCTGTCCGTAGATGGTGTTGATCGATTCGTCCGACGGGAATAAAATATTAAAAATGGTGAAGAGAGAGACAAAACGTGGGTCAAGAGCGTTGCGACCACCGCCAGGCGGAGCCATCGCGGCCACAAATTGCGTGTCTCGCACATTTTTAAAAAGAAGATCTTTTCGATCGTACCATGAATGATGTTCCACCAGTAGTTTCAAAAAGGCGATGGGTTGTTGAGTGCCGTAGAGATCCACACGGGGCATATTGATATCATCCACAAACACCAAAAGTCGCTTCTTTGCCGGGGGGCCAAGCACGGTGTTGGTACGCTTCTCAATGTTATCCTCCATCGCCCTCTGTGCATCAAGGCTTGTGGTGCGAGAGCTGAAATTCAGCTCAAGAAGCATCTCCTCAAGATGAACATCCTCATTAGCAGCCGTGTCTGCCTCCAGAGAACGTTGCTTCAGTTGCTTAAGGTATGCCTGAATGGTGACCGTCTTCGCGGTACCGCTCTCGCCAACCAACATGACAGGAGTCCGATTAAGAACAATTTTGTTTAGCAACCACATGTTTCGTTCAGTATCAACCGTAGAAACAAGAAGTGAGCCAAATTTTGCGCCTGGTGGTCTTTCAAACGGTTGAACAAGAATATGCCACGGCTTCCACCGGTTTTCTTCAAGATCAAAAAAATAATCGTAGAGAGTTTTGCGCTCCGGAAGAGATCCACTACCCACAAAACGGGTGAGGAAGTTTTCGCCCACATCTTGCAAGTTCCATCCACTGACCTTCTTCAGAAATGCATCGAAGCGTACACGACCCTCTGCAGTGGCAATTAGAGAGCCAAAACTCCACACGCAACAAAATAAAAAGACACACTGCAATGCCTTTGGCTCCAGTGCCACTTTCTGCGGAGAAACCGTGTGCAACATGGTCGTCAACTGGCGTACCATATTTAACTCATTGGTCGGGATCACAAGCTTCGGCGGGTCTGTCACAACCTCTCCGTCAATGCCATCAAACATAAAATTAACAAGAGGCTCCACATATTTCTCAATGAGCTCGTTAAGGGTGTCCAGTTCATCACGTGGGCGTTTCAACTTCCATGCGTACATGAAAGGCTTCCATCCGAGATTCACAGGATCAAGGAAGACCATACCAACACGTGAAACAGTTGCAGGCGAGGCATACTGTAGGTCTCCCACTTCAAAAAGTAATGAACTTGTCGGACGAAGACGAATACGTTCTCCATTCGGAAGCGTGAGAAGTTTATTGTCATCCATGACAGAATTCATGTCTTCTACCCATTTGGCATCCACATCACCATCAAACACAACATATCGACGCTCACGCGCTCCACTTTCATTGGGGCGGTTAATTGCACGGAAGATATTGGAGAAAATACCGTCCGTCCAGCTCCGAGAAAGAGGGTCCATGACGCCATAAAGCGCGGTAGTAGGTTGAGCCTTGGGATTGATGATATACAACTTCGTTGGTAGCCCAAGGTCCGTTTGTGCTTTACAAAGACAGTCAATAACAGTTGACTTTCCACCACCTGTGGGGCCAACGACCATCGAGGTGTGCCGAGTTTGCATCGTCTCGTAGAGTTGAACCACCTTGTCCACCTGTCTCGCGTCCACAAAAAATCCCTTCTCCTTGAATACTTTTGTCGCAGCCTTTGAAAGATTTTCCTGCGGTGCACGTGTTGGGTCAAGACCAGGAAACAGATCTCCAATAAGACCCTTAAAAAGCGGCTCATCTTCCGCGACAAACTTCGGGGTATTCATGTCACGCAGGGCACGCATCAGAACAGACTCTTCCGTCAACTCAGGTGCACCACGCTTCAGTTGTCCCGCCATCACTAGCACCGCTTTTAATGCCCTCAGTCCCCAGTCATAGTGATGTTGTTTTGACAGTTGCCCCTTGGCAAGTTGGTAAAGTGTCACCATCTTCTTGGCCAGCTCACGCGCCGTCGTGAAGCCCTCCGAGAAGAGCATATTTTCCGCAATCAATTCCATATCTGGCACAACCATCACTACAGGACGGAACAAAGCCTTAAGGTTGTCCGGTAATTCAACACGGCCAGCGTAACCGGGATTCATCGTGATAAAAACACCAACCGTCGGTACAAGTCGAATTACTTTGTCACCAAAAAGAAACTCTTCTTCGCCAGCCTTCAGTGCACTTTGAATGCTGCGCAGTTGCTCGGATACCACGGAAAGCACCGGCAGTTCAATACGGTTGAACTCATCAAAGCAACCCCATGAACCGGTCTGTGACAGTCCAGAAAAGATTGTACCCATCGCCTTATAGTCCAAGCCCTCACCACAATTAAAGACAACACACTGAATGGCCAAAGCCTTTGCAAGATCCTTGACGGATTCCGTTTTCCCCGTTCCCGCCGGCCCACCGGGAGCACCACCAAGATAGAAAGACAGCGCCTGAGTCAACGTCATAAAGCAGCGGTCTGTTAACGGGGTGATCACAAGTCTCCCATTCAATCCCATATATTCATAGCCAAAATTAAACCGCCCTGTGCATTGACGTATAACGCATGTGTCACCATCACGCTCCCAGTAAAACCGTAATTGTGATTCCCAATCAAACTCACGAGCATCCGTTACGGAGTCTCGTACAAAGCGATCCACAATATCTCGTCCATGAACATCTACAATGATCAATGTATTGACTTTCTTTGCGTACTGTTTCTCAATATCCTTATCCATTTCTCCCACAAGATCAATGAGTTGTCGTGTCAGTTTCCCCGACAGGTCTTTCATTGAACTTTTCTTTCCCTTCTTGAGAGAATTAAAAGCGTCTTCCACTTCGAACGTCCACCAAATCTTGGCCCCAGTGAGTGTAACCATGCCATGGTACTTTTTCAGCCAATCCAGTCGACCCATCCGAGGGTAATAGTACACACCCGCCTTAAGAACGTCACGCAGTGTCGAGCGCGACTCCTCCAAAACTTCTTGTAGCCATTGTTCCACGGGCGCACCCATTGTTGCCACTGGGCGGTCAAAAATTACAACTTCACCCTCCTGCGATTCCACACCGCAAATGGTTTCATCCTCACCATCCTTAAAAATTAGGTGGGCAGAGTTGTCAAACATCTTCAACATGTGATCCTGCACTGACTTTGCACCGCTGGCAGCCAAAATGGAGAGCAACTCATCATCGGATATGAAGTAGAAACGAGGAAACATGTACCGCTTCGTCTCAAGGTAATTGGAAAGTTCCTTCTGGCATTCCTCAAGTTTCTCCTCCAGATACCGAAACTCTTCAAGACGACCAGTCGCGTTACAGCAGATGTCCACATTCGGCCCAGCGGCCGTTTCATTCATGATGCGAACAAACTTCTTGTCCAGGTCGTTAAACTTGGCGGTTTCCTTTGGGAGTTGATTGGCGATATCGTCACTTCCCTTAAAAATGGATTCCAAATATTGCCATTTCATCTGCACAGTAACCCACACAGCAATCACATCGTTGATCATTGCCAATTTCTTTTCCCACAGTTTCACATCATCTATGAACGGTTGTGCCCATTTCACGTTCGCGATGGATTGCATTTTAAGGATATTGTCATCCACAGCCTCTTGAATCTCGCTTGTGTCACTGTGAACACTGCAGCGAACATCTCCCTTACGAGGTTCATACGGCACCAGTGAGAACTCTGCCTTTGACCAGAACTCCTTTACGGCCAGAATGTCCTTCTCAATAGCCTGCTCCCTCGCCGCTGTAACAATGATATTATCAATATCATCTGCAAAGCAATAAAGTTCCATGGCAATAAAATCATCTAAATTGATTTGCTCAATAGAGAATTCCTTGCCCGTTACCCGCATTAGCTCCACCCAGTGACGCTGCTTCAGTGCCGGACTCTTCAACTTCGCCAGCAGTGGCAAAGAGGAATGAAAATTCAAAATAACCTGCTGAACAGCCTTGAATGGATGCACATCACCGTGTGTCCTACCAAGGAGACGTGCACGTTTTACCTTCTCATCCGTGGTGGTTTGCAAGTCCTCCAGAAGGAGATCCTTCCAGCTGCTGCGGTTCCAGCGCTTCAGAATGGCAACCCACTGTTCGTAGAGGTCATACACTGCCTCCACCTTTGTCAGTTCTTCGTTCAACTGCTGCAGGTGAACGTGACTTGTAAGCGGCAAGTCAAACAGTTTTTCGGCCTTTGTCAATTGGTCACGTTTCGCCTGGAGTTGCGTCAAATGCTCTCGCCACTCCTTCTTGAGGTTATTGCCTTCCTGAAGGTCAATGTCCGCACGACTAGGACCCTTTTCACGAAACTCTTTCAGCACAGATTTTCCCTTTTGAAGAAAATTGGCCACCTCGGCACGCGTATACTCCCGGAAGCGAAGCTTCTTCGGCTCCAGATCCTTCTCCAATTCGTGCAGTCTCGCAAGTGTACAGTCCCATAGTCCTTGAAAACTTAACGCCTCCTTCAACTCCTGCGGGTCCACCTTGACGCCAAAGTGCATAATAGACTCATAAATGTATTTGATTTCACTGATGTCCTGCTCCACATCCAGCGAAGAGGCACGCGTGTCGTGCATGACTTCTAACACAAACTTCAAATCCTCAATATTTTCACATGGCCGTTGCAAATCTTTATTAATACGGACTATAGATTCTAAACGCTTCTGCATACGTACCCGGACCGTATCATTCATTTGTGCACCTTCCATGGCAATCCACTGATGTACATGTTCTACAAGCTCCGCATAAAAAGCGCTCTCGTCACAGCGCATAAATCCAAAATCGTGTATGTGTTCTTCGGCATCAAAGTCTGCAATCATGTTAAAGTAAAGTTGAAATTTTGCGTCATAGTCAATCCAGTGAAACTGACTCTTTGCCTGCTGTTCCACCGAAAGTTTTTTATCCGCAAGATAAATAAAACGGTATCGCTGAAGCATCTTGATGTTTGTTGCAAGAGCAGATAAATGAGTTTGAATGGTTCGGTTAATTATACCCTGCAGTTTATACACCTGAGGAAGACTGTTGATGTCTTTGTAATACGTAAAGAGCGTTTCCTGTTCCCCCTCAGCTGGTCGTGGCACCAGTTCGCCCTGTGTGAACTCAATACATGTTCCCCGCATCCATCGTTGGAATCGCTGGGTGGATTCAATAATGCTTGACTGAACCTTGTGAAATGCACTCGTGATCTCTTGATGTGGTGGTGAGAAGGTCGGCTCCGTCGTCAAAAATATCAACACCTTAAAAAGAGGGGGACGTTTCACGGTGGAGGAGCCACGGTAGCCAAGCATCTTTGCAAAGGCCAGAAGAGAGTTGAGCACCATCCTCGTAAGGGCCTTCCAAATGCGTTGTTCCCAGTGAAGGTAATAACTCTCCAGGATAAGGCACTTTCCCGTATGGGTGCCAACAAGTTGACTCTCCATCTTTGTCAAGAGGGGTTTGGCGGTGTGATACGCACGAAGACATGCATCAACCAGAGTTGTGCGACGTCGCTCAATCGTTTCCACAAAAACCTGCAGTTCTGGCAGTTCTCCTCCAGCCTGAAGCAGCTGTTCAAATTCCGGTATGAGTTTTGTGGAACCAATTTTATTTACAACCTGCGTCTGGATGTGGTCCGCTCGTTTGCGTACCTCGCGGCTTAAATTTCGGAACTTAGTGATAGCACGCTCGCAGTTGGCGACAAAGTCCGTTACGCCCAGACTTGTCCAATTGATGTCATGAATTCCCGGCTCAAGCGCAAGCCTCAGTTCGCGGATGTTTTTTGCCAAAATAACGCGCTCAGGACCATCCAGTGCCCCTTGCAGCTCGCAGTTAAAATTTAGGAGCATCGCCTTAAGTGCGTCCACGTTTGCGTGATACGATTCATCCTGCAGGGTGACGTTAATGGCCTCCTGCGGCACCTCAAAGCCGAGGCGGTCCAAATACTTCGCCTCCCGTATGACGTTGAAGAGGGCAACATCAAAGTTTGTCACATACGTGTCCCCATTTCCTTTGCGGAGAATATTCATCTTGAGCGATGCCGTAGTTGTCTGCCGCACTCCCTCTGACCATTGAATAAAACGAGAAGTGGCGTACTCCTTCATTTGCCTCGCCACCTCCACATATTTTGCTCGCACCTGTCGCCCCATGGTGGTGACAAGCATTCCCTCTTGCTGAAACCGAACAATCGGCTTCTTCAACCGCTGAAACAACGACGTGCTCCAGTGTATGGCACCCGCCACCGGGGGTTGATTCTTCGTGAGTGGTGGATTGTCGCGGTTTTCCACAAAAATACTCCGCACTCTCTCCACCTCGCTGAAATACTGCGCCAGAATACGATCCGCCTTTTCTGAAAGAAGCGACGCCGTGTCAAACGCCTCCCCAGCACGCTGCGGACGGGACACGATACCTTTAAAGGAGACCAAAAGCTCAAATGCGGATTCCGCACTCCGTAAATCATCATCAAAGATTTTATTTATAAACTCAGAAACCTCATGGTCCAGGTTGGCGACGGTGTTCACAAAATTGGAGTATACCACCTGCCAGTTATGAGTCGCCTTTCGCTCAAAGGGATCAAAGGTGAGGGTCTCAAACGGACGCTTCACACGTTCCACATCCTTTAAAATACGTTCAATTCCGCTAGTGTCGGTGAGAACTGTCTTTAGCTGCGCCCCAAGCACCGTATTGTAGTACTCCACGGTCTCTATAACTTCCAACAAGTCCGTACAACGGTCAGACATGTAGTCGGTTGTTTCAAACAATCGTTTTTGGTTAAAATTCCACGGCTGCTCACGTTCACTGCTATTAATCTCCTCCTGCACATTGACATAAGTGGCTTTCCATTTTAGTAAGCACTGCTGGCCCTCAATCACTTTTTCCTTGGCCTCTGAAAAGGGTAAGCCTAAAATACTGCGGAAATCGATGTGCTGTGAGACTTTTTGAGCAATTAACTTCCCAACTTTCTCCAGCAACCCAACCATACGCTCTTCCGTGCAATAATAGCGAGAGATAATCCACACCATTCTTATTCCTGTCATCATAGAGGACAGCGTGTCAATGATGGGCTGAAGGGAGCCAGAACCCGGTGTCACTCCGTGCATCGTGCGGAAATGACGGTCCAACGTACCGAGAAACTTCACATTGTCTTTTGCCTCGGCGTACAGACGGAAAAAATGTTGAATTGTAGTGGAGATCAAGTGAAACGAGTTGCACTCCGCTTCCTTTGCCACTTTCAAAATAAACTTTGCCTGAGGGGAATTTATCTGCTCGTATAAAGCACTGATGGTACTATATTTTTCACGCCAATACTCAATCTCTCCAAGAGGGCCTTCCTTCTGTGGATCCAGTGACATGGCATAGCTGATCTCTGCTTGCCACTGGGAGACGGTAATGTCAATCTGCTTGATAACATCTTCATTGGCAAGCGCAGATTTCAGTCCAGAGTCAGAATACCCCATAGATACAAGCGTTTGTGGCATAGGTAGTCGTCGCTCCGCACAGACCTGGTTTCGAAATCCCGTCATTTGCATATCAACACGATGCACCCAATTCAAGATCTCAGTGTAAAGCTGTCGGTTTGCAACCTTTTTTGTAGCAACACACCGTCTTCGTCCAGCAGACGACACCACATCTTCTACGATCGGCCCGTAGGCATACTTTAAAATGGTGTGAAAGGAGGACAATGAGGGCACTACCATACAGGAAATCTCAAAGGCCCTATGAATGGGGCACTCGGTTTCAGTCCTCCAGTTATGCACAAGCTCTTTGGTTAACTGTACATTCTGGACACGAAGAAAGAAGATGCATCTTGTCCGGTCTGGTGGAAAATTTGTGGAGCCGGTGATATTTGAGTTCTTGATCGCCCGCGTTGTGGCAATCAGCTTTGGAGGGGTTTTTCGCGGTGTTGCCATAGAGAGCCTGCCACCGACGGCGTTGCCCTCCGTGGTTGTGGCTTCTTGGGAAGAGATGACGAGAAAGCGTTCCTTTGGGTTATCAAAAATCTCCAGGATGACTTTTCTAGAATCAATGTCGCCGTAGAGATCCGCAATGACGTCATCGTCAACGCCGTAGAGGCAACTCTTAACGCGAGCCGCCAACCACGCAAGGCGCGGGTCTTCCTCGTCCCTCGGTTGCCCATTCCTCGATTCAGCGCTCATTTCCAGTGGATGCTGAAGTCGTCATGGTGGTTGATAGCCGTGACGGTTGTGGAAAAAAAGAAGAAAAAAAAAAAGAAAGGGAAAATAAAATAGAACCGAAGGAAAAAAAAAGCAGGGGAACCCACACAGCGAGAGATGGCAATGAGCAATGAAAAACACAGGAAGAGATAAAAATTTTAAAAGAATTAAATCATCACGCCAATCAAGAAAAAGGGAATCAATGAATGGGCGTGCAAGAATGCTTGAGGGTGTGTGTATGCATCAAAGAAAAAAAAAATATATCCTTAAAAGAGACGAAGGCATAAAAAAAGAGGGCAAGCGAAAGGAAAAACATTCGTATTGGGTTACATCACAAAAAGGGAAGGAGTAAATAATAACAAATCAGAGGGAAAAAAAAAAAAAAAAAAGAAAACGAGAAAGAGAAAGATAATGAATAAAAATGAGCTGCGACACACAAATGGAGAGAAAACAGGGGCGCTCCAGAACGCCCCTCAGGGGAAAAAGAAAAAAAAAAAGGATCCCCAACAGCATTCGTATTTGACAACAACGATAACTAAAAAGACAACAATGAAAAGCGAGTAAACACTGAAGGTAGCGGAGACTAAACTCTAGGAGAGACATTCAGGCCAAGTGAAAAATCGTACATACATTTCTCGTTGGTATCCGTCAGCACACTATGCGCGTGGTTTATGAGTTTAAATCGCTCCAGCCCCGCCTGTTGCTTTTTCTCATCCTCCTTCACTAAGCGGTCAGGATGGTACAACAGGGTTAACTTTTTAAACTGTGCGCGGACTTCACTGATGCTGGACCCGTGAGGCAACTCAAGAACGTCGTAAAGCGTCGTTTTCGCCCCCAATTTGGATGCACGCTCGGCGTCCGAAGAGGCGTCTTTTGTCGTGGCCCCGGACTTAGGCGGGATCTCACTTTTGGTTGCAAAGGCATCGTACCACTTTGACCGGCGTTTTTGTGACCCCGGGTTGCCATGAGACGATCTTGGATGCTCGGTTTTCCGCAAAAACTGTTCCTCGTCCCCGTGCAGTATATGACGAAAAGAAGGATCCAAATTAACAGCCTTAAGACGATCGGCCGCTGCCTCAGCGCGTTGGTTCATTCGACGGTAAGCCTCAGCGCGGAGAACAAACGCTTTGACGCAGCCAGAATCCATCCCAATTGCGGCGGTACAGTCGTTGATGACGTTGGAATTCTTACCAAGGCTTGCGTATGCCTCGGCTCGCATGCAGTATAATGTACTACACATCCGCTGATTGGATTTATCCAGAAGCAATCCATCATGAATGAGAGGAATGGCCTCGGCGTAGCGCTCTTTTGCAAAGAGAGATCTCACCCGCGACAAGATCTCCTCCAGGGAGACAAGATAGTGCCCAAGCACAAGTGCAGGGCCAAAACTTGGACTGATCACCAAACATGTCTGAACCAGGGCTGCAGCAATTTCTAAAAAAGAGCTGCCACAGTACACATTCGATTGGGCTAACAAAACGGCGGCTTGCAGATAGTGCTCTTCCACAAGACGCCAAGCCAACTTCTCCTCCAAGGACATTTCTGTATTGGCGGAAACAGGCCGGGGAATGGTTGGTACATATGACAGCAAACGAAGGCGTGCCATATTTGGACTCACGTGCAATAAAGCTCTCGCTTCCAAAAGAATTAGAGGCGTGCCATCAATAAGAGGCTTGGCTGCATCCCTCAGACGCAAAACCTCCTCCCACTTCCCCTCCTTGAAAGAGTTACGGAATTTCTTTAGGGTTGGTATCGCTTCACACTCGGCCCGCCACTTTATATTGCGAGGATCGTTCATTAAAGGCGCCAGCACCCCAAGCGCATATTCGTACCCCTGACGTGCTTCTTGGTAGCGTTCACGCAGCAAAAGTGAACGGCAATGAAGCGAGACAAGATCCAAGTCCATTTCAATTCCTCTGCGAGAATCCTTGGTACACTCATCGTAGAAAAGCAGGTGCCAACTACACACGGCACGTTTGTAACATGCCATCTTAGAATGAGGCTTCTGCTGCAGAGCCCGGGTAAAGGACACATAGGCACCCCCATAATCCTTCGCTTCAAGCAGCCGAATACCACGTTCCTCATTTCTTGTGAATGAAGCATTCACCTCAGGTAAACAACATTCCAAACCTCGAACTAGACGCTGCCTCTCGATGGCTTCGTTAGCTATCAAAAGTCTCCTACAAGCCCCTTCTTCATCGCTGGCCTGGCGTAAACACAATGTCCAATCTGTTGGCATCGTCGCCAACCCTCCTGAGAAAAACTCTGTATTTGCACTTTTCCTCGGTTTGGGAAGGTACGTATACTCCAATGTCGTCTCACCATGGCGTTTCAAAATTGTCCTCCCCATGGTGCCTTTTCTATGCGGAGGAACAGGTACCTTACTAGGAAAATGCGTTCCATTTTTTCGCGATCGTCCTTCTTCCTTCTCTATCGTTGGAAAGAAGCACGAATGACACCCTAAAATTGTCTGTGCAAATCCTTTGTGAAAATCTCTTTGGCCCATTTTACGAAAAAAAAAAACCCAACTACCAGGGACGCAGCGATATGCAAATAATAATAATAATAATAATACGCCTCCCACGAAACCAGCCTGCCTTGGGGCCACTGGCACCTATCCCTACTATTTCCCCTGCAGAAAACGGAATGAGGAAAGTGCATGCAAACCAAGAAAGAGGGCGAGAAAAGCAAAACGGGAAGAAAAAAAGAATCCAGCAAGAAATAATTCGAGAGAAAAAAACAGCCTTCTTCAGACACAGCATCTATTACCCACAAACATACACACCCCAGCAGCTGCAGCACGCCACCCCGGGCATCTACTCCTTATCCTTTCCATTTTTTGTCCTCCTTTCCATTCATTCTTTCCCGTTATGCGTTCGACAGCATTGGCCTTTTCTCGCGTCCACGCGATTCCCCTCAGCAGAGCAGCGGTAGAAAAGTTTATTCACACCTCCTAGTCTCGCACTGGGAAGCTGTGTATACGTGTGTGTGTGTGTGTGTGTGTCGACCGCATGCTTCTGGAGACAAATGGGCACCGCAAGATTCGCGTTAAACCCCTTTCTGAAGAACGTCCTTCTTCTCTTGAAATTATTCTCGTCCTCGCTTTACTACACGCCGTGCGCCGAAGCCCTTGCTATCTCCTCTATTGTCCAATGCGTTGGTCAGCACCTGTCCCGCCTTCACTAACGCCGGGCTGGTGCGCAAGGCATCAGGAAGCTGAAAAAAAACGATGGAGGAGCCGCGAACAAACACGGAATTCAGATCCACCGTCTTTCCTGACTTCTTTGTCTTCTTCGCAGAAATGAGCAAGACGTTCATATTATCCTGCACCTCGCTCAGCGTGCCCGTGTAGAGCTCACCATTAGAGACCTCAAGTGATATCGTCGTGCCAATAGCGTCAAACAGCACCTTCAGCGGAATGCTAAACGTACTCATCTTCTAACACGCAAATATAATTGTATCCTTGTATGTAATAGCTTAGACACAGCAAACACGACGATACACCGCTCTTCACCCCTAAAAATATATATATATATATATATATATATGATTAAAAGGGGAAAAAGAAAAAAAAAAAAACAGTTCTATATGCAACTAATGGATATATACCAAACAAACAAACAAACGAAAAATCAAATTGTTCCAATCACTGAGTCGTTCTTTTTTTCTCTCTCTCTTAACTTTGGGTTAAGTTACCTCAGCGTATAATATCTGCAAAGGGGGTATTTGAGGTGACAAGTGGCCACGTACTATTTTTCTATAATTCGTTTGCTCACTCGCCAGAGACCCACGCATTTTGGCCTCCTGCACACTTCAGAAAACCTGACCTGAAAGTTCAATTGGTGCAACACGGTCATGCGTGTCAAGAATTTGATATGCAATCGACGCTAAGAAAGAGCCACCAAGTGGGGCAACCCAATATATCCAAAAGAAAATGAGTGGCTTGCAGTTTCCTCCTATGCAGCCAACCAATTGCGTACCTGTAGCCACAGCAGGATTAAAAGCACCACCAGTAAAACCACCCACAGCAAATGAAGCAGAAAGAACTGTCATACCAATCGCAAAACCATAAAACTCATTGCTCCGTTGCCTGGAGTAGTTTACATGCAACACAACCGAGGCCAAGGCAAAAGTGTACACCATCTCACACAAGATAGCCTGCCAAACACTCACGAGAGCCACATCCGTCGAGGGAACTGGAATACGGAGACCAACAATCGCTGAGCCGTAGAGAGACGCCAAAAAAGCCGCCAGAATCTGTGAAATCATGTAAAAAAACATCTTCCTGAACGGAATCTTGCCGTTGATAAACGTGGCAAAGGTAATGGCTGGATTAAAATGGGCCCCACTAATGTAACCAAAGGAAAATGTCATTGCCGCAAGCATGAATCCAATCGGCAGTGGTGCTAGTGATCCCACACCCAGCGAAGCCAAAGGAATCGTCAGCACAAAGAGAAACGTTCCAACAAACTCTGCCACAATCTCACTCATACCCGGAGAGAACGTCATAACTACAAATCGACCCTCTGGATCCTTCCACAGTAGAAAAAGGTGGGATGTAAGTACGTAATTATACGTTTATCGGTACGTCCAGCTACTATTGTCCTTCAACTACCACCGCTGCTTCAAGGGCAAATAATAATAATAATAATAATAATAATAAATTTAAAAAAAGGATTTAGGGTGTTGGTGAGGACAAACACAAATAATAATAATAATAATAATAATAATAATAAAATGTGGGCAAAAATAAAAAAATGCACATCAATGCAATTTCCTTCAAAATAGGCCAAATCCATATATGTATGTACTCATTCTCCTTCCATTATGACGCAGTCACTTCCTCTTCCGCCATCAAATCATCCTTCTCCTCATCGGTGCTGCACATCATCGCAATTGTGCGCCAATCACTCTCGTACAAATCAACTTCCTGCAACTGAATCAGCGTCTGCATACTCTCCGGAAACTCTCTCTGTACGCAACCCGCCCAGAAGGCCCTCGAATCCGCAGGAACACACAACCATGTTCGCCACAGCTTGCATACATTTTCAGCCACATTGAACGTGCACTCAACTGGCAAAAATGACAGGATCTCCAATACGACAGAGCGCTGTTGATGCCAAGGCCTGGCAAAATTACAGGCTTCATCACTCGCCGAGAGTGTTCCCTTCAAACTACAAGGAGTCGTCTCCCTCTGAGAAAGTAATAGCAACAGTTCGTCAACAAATTGCGCAATCATCACATCCTCCGTAACAACCAATTCACTCCGCTCCGTTGGGGTCAATCGGGGCAGTGAAGGAAGATCGAGATTCCCCATAACATCGTCAATAGTTCGACAGGCGTCCCTCGCCTGCTTTTGCACCTGAGCCATCATGTCGTGGGCGTCATTTAAAGCCTCCACCACATCAGGGGCAAACAGGCACGGATTAGAGGCCACCAGCTCCCCACGACTAGACACCGGCGCCCTCAGGTATTCCGCCAGCAAAGCGGCAATCTCCATGTGCGGGCCTCCTCAAGAAGTAACGGCACACGCAAATTCCATCAAAAAGAAAAAGAAAACCGTAAAAGAACGTGGTGATATGAGTAAAACCACAAAAAAAAAAAAAAACGGTAAAAATATGCGAAGAGTGTGGAGATAAAAAGAGCCCACCAGCCAAATGATGACGCAGCAATATATATATGTATATAAAACAAAAAAAAATAAAAAAATAATAATAAAATAAAATAAAAAGGGTACAAAATCAAAAATGGAGAAAGCAGCAGAATTCATCCAAAAAAAAAAAAAAAAAAAAAACTAATGAGGTTTATAAGCGGCATGAGTGACATCCTTGAAACTTTGGATAAGATCCTGAAGTGCATTTGAAAATTCAAAATGATGGGCAGTGAGGTTGCTACTGCTGCGCTCATTAAGCTTCGCCGTCGTTAAATTCTCCTCAAAATTTAGATCAGCAAGAATAGCCAATATTTGGTTATTCTCCTCTTGCATCCTGCGGTACAGAAGCCGCGTGACATGTAGTCTATGCTGCAAATTACCCATTTCACAATTTTCGTGAACAACGACACAATCCTCCACTTCTGATTTTCTGGCACTACTGAGGCTGTTCTTCACAGCAACAGACGCCGCCGCCGCCGCCGCCGTTGGGGTTGATTGCTGATGGCATGGCGTCATTTTCTCCAGCCTCTTCTCGGCCTCTTCGACATCGGCCTGGAGTTGTGCCTTCCGCTTTTTGGCCGCGGTAATCAATCGAAGGAGGCATTTCTCCTGTTTTACGGCGTTCTCTATCTTTTCATCCAACTCCTGTATTGCAAGCACCGTCCCCGCATTCTCCTCCACCTTCTTACGGAGTCTCATGTTCAGTGTCGCAAGCCGCCGCGTCCTCTTCTCCACGGCACGCCGTGACTCTCTGGCTTCCGCCCTCACGTCCGCCACGAGCGCTCCCCAGTCGAATGGCCGCGCGGTCAAAGCCGGCATCGGCGGAGTACCCCCGTCGCAGCCGCCGTGCGAAGGCTGCTCCGGCAGCGCCGTCATTCCGACCAAAGCAATGATTTAAAAGAAAGAAAAAAAGATTTCTAGGCGGCAAAAATTAATAAAAAAAAAAGCAACTAATCTAAAGCGCTCTTCCACATTTTATTGTAAAAAAAAAAAAAAAAAAAAAAAAAAAGAAAAAAGAAAAACACAAAAAAATGGAGAATACAGGTGTGCGTCCTCCTGTCAATCAGCAAAGCGCCCCACCTCAGTAAGTTCCCCGTTGGCGTCCGTCAAAACAACGGCAATAATCAGAAATAAATGACAAATTAACAAACAGACAAACACGCACATATATATATATATATAGAGAGAGAGAGAGAGAAACAATAAACACAGATAACTAGAGGAGATGGTATGGGGAGAGAGAAAGCAGCACAGAACTCGCAATTGTGACACCCTCACTTTTCAAAGCGCATTGAATATCCCCCAGTTACTGGGTCCTTGTCAAACTTGAAGTTGTCGGTAGAGAGCCCAAAATAGTTAAGGAAACGATTTCCCATATCTTTTAAATCCCCAAGCATCTTCTTCATTTCCTCATCCACCTTCGCCTTGGCTGCCGCCTTATGAGCACGACCATCCGCGTCCAACACGCCGCCCAGCTTTTCGTATTCTTCGTAGTCCCCATACGCATTAGACCATTTTCCAAGCAAGTAGTAGCACTCCGCCCGTCGGATAAACGCCTTTGCGTACAGACCGTTGTGCCGTATGGCCTCCGTGAGGTCGGTCACAGCGTCCTCATAAAATTCCAGCTTTGTCAAACACAATCCAGCGTTACAGTAAATCTGTGAGGTCAGCGTGTAGTCGACACCGCCGTCGTTGTTTTCTTCATCCAACACGTCATTCTTTGTGTCGTTCTCATTGCATGCAGTGCTCCCGCTGCTACCACCACCCTCTGCGGGGGCCGAACTCGCCTGCGTCTCAGGAGCCGACGGTCTGCCGTCCGCCCGGGAATCGCCCCCTTTTTTATTTTTTGGTTCCTTTTGAATGGGTTTGATGGGCGCCGCCTTCAGCGCGTCACGGTACACCTCCAACGCCTCCGCAACCTTCCCGCTGACAAACAGCGCGTTTCCCTCCTTCTTCAGCCGCTCACACGCCACAACGTCCACGACTCTCTCACGCCCCGCAGAGACCTCCGACACCGGGCAGGGGTCAACCTCGTCGTCTGAACGCAACTCCTCCACGACAGACATCAAATAAACAACCAGCACACAACGCAACTACAAATAAATAAATAAATAAAAAGTAAATAAAAAGAAAACAAAAAAAAGGTGTGGGAAAATTTCAAAAAAAAAAAAAAAGGGAAAACATAATTGAAGGCATGCAAAAAATAAAATAAAATAAAAATTGCGTAGTGAAAAATAAAAGAAAACAAAACAAAACGGCGGCAACTTCATTCCATCGATGCGTCGCACAGCAATGGGACGGCAAAACAACAACTCGCCCCAAGATAAAACCCACACCATGTCCTTTAAATGAAAAAATTTGCAAGCACAACTGCCTTTAAGTGATACTTGTGGTTCACATGGCGACCAGCGCAGTACATGACGCGAGTTCCTAGCGGTACGCGTTGATCGTTCAACAAAATGCATGTGTTTCTATCAAAGTTTGTTTGAAGACCACTCATCCTTGTATTCGTTTGACGCCGAGAAAGCAGACAAACCCAGTAGATATTCCCGGGCTTCACACGGTGCCGGCTCACCTCGCCCCGGCCAGATTTAAAGCGTTGCACTGAAACACGATGCGCTACTGCGGGAAAAACGCGGCAATGTGCAAAGCGTTCAGCAGTAGCCTTCGATATGAGACGAACGTGCTTGCAGTTCGTGTTGTCAACGCAATGAAGTTTTACCTGATCGCTGAAGGGAACGCCTGTGCCGTATCCCTCCGCACCTGTTCCCCACCGAGAACGGTAAGACGCCTTCCTGCGAATGATGAGATTGTAACGGAACCACGACTTATTCACCGGATTGCCCGCCGGGAGTTTTGCCGCAGCATCTGTCGTCGTCGCTGCCAGCCGAAGACCCCACCTACGAAACATCACACTCTCGGTTGAAACCTACAAACAAAACCGAGAAAAAAAAAAAGAACTACACGCGTTTAAAACAAAAGAAAGGAAGAAAAAAAAGCATATGTAGAGTAAAATCTGGTAACGGCACCAAAAAAAAAAAAAAACATTTTAAGGGATAACTTCTCAAATAAAGAAAGCAACAACAAAAATAGACACAAATAAATCGCCTTTGCATCAGGATTGCCGACCGTCGACATCTCTCTGCCCCTTAAATATAAGGTTCTCAGGCTCCTCCGATACGCCGCGACGGCTTTTCCCAAACTCCCTTCGCAATTCCGCCCGCAGTGCCATCAACTTTGCTACCGAGTCAGTCACGTCACCACCGACCTCCTTTCTTAGTTTTTCCTTCGCCTTCTGAAATTCTACCACCGCCCGGTGCTCCCACGACACCTCAAGAGGTACCTCCTCCTCGCTCTGCGACGCAGGAACAGTGTTACCAAACACGTATTCCTTGTGGCGCATGTAGGGGTAAGGATCGATTCCCTTCTGAAGACAAAGCCGCACACGCTCCTCCTCTTGTTGCCAGCGTACGTCGTTCATAAGATACGGCTTCAATAACGGATAAAACAACAACGGAAAGATGGAAATAATAGACGACGCAAAAATAATAACAACCCATGGAGACTCCTGTCCAATGCGCTGACCAATTTGGGCAAACGGTGAGCTTAAGGCCGACAGCACTACGTTACACCTGTCACAAAAACGACGCATAAAATCCACAGTGTATGTGGTGCATCGCAGCTTAAAGCGTGTGAAGGCAATAGACATGAGTTTTGAGTCACCTCACCCTTCCCCTCCCTCGTGCACCCCTTTGCGCCCCTTTCTGGCGTTCCAACAAACGCCCTATTCCTTCCCTCGCTCCTTCGCACCTTCCAATAATATGGCCCACAAAAAGACAAAAATAAATAAATAAACAAATAATAAATGAGGTAAAAAAAAAAAAACCGCGACAATACCCCAGCGTTTACAGCAACAGAAACATGCAGCCTAGGCATTACTCACCACGGGGTCAAAAGAAGTATCTCAAGAGTCTCCCCAACAGCAGTTCTTCCTCGGAACCCAATGAGCCTGTGTCCCAGGGCTGCAATTCGTACTCAAGAATCACCTCCTCCGAGGCAATTAAACCACGCTCCAACACAACCACGGCAAAGAAATGCTCCTCCATCAAACGCCGCAGCTCCCTCTCGCCATCGATGCCGCCTCGCTCCGATTCCTGCACAAACCATGAACGATACCAAACAGGCAATTCCTCTACAGCAAACGCCACCTCCACTCTGGCGTTCCGCTTCCTGTCAGCTCCATCGTGTCCGTTGATGAGGTCGATGAAAGGCAAAATGCCCAACTCCACAGGATGGCCCTCAGCTGTTGTCCAGCACAAAGGTAAATGTTGAGCCCTAGACAATATGACATCCACCGCCCCACGGAAGTAACAAAATGAGGGCACCACGTTTTCTTCAGCAAATATCTCATGCGCAGCTACGACCTCCTCTTCAATTCGACGTCGGGCATCCATCCAATATGGCAATAGTGGTGCCTGATGAAGTCGACACAGACGCTCACAATTTTCCTCCATCGTCCTAAATGACGTGAAGCTTGGCAAAACGTTTAGCCACCCCCACCAAGGCGAAAGGCTTCGCTGTTGCTCAATAGCAAGACGCCATGCAAGTGTGGCCCATTGGTTTGCGCTGCATCCCAGTATTCTCGACACCACGCCATCATTCAGATTGTGAAGTTTCAGTAACGCACCCGTCTCAACCATCCGCACATCCGCTCCCAACCTCTCCAGAGTAGTCACTGAGCAAGCACGTCGCGAGGGAACCACCAGCAATGGTGTACCTGCGTCGCACGCATCCCTCACAAAAACACCATAACCCACAGATGCATCACGTTTTTCAATTAGCACTGTATCATGCAACCCCAGGCGCTTTAAAATCGCATATGTTGCAGTGTACTCAGCAAACTTGGCACTTCTTTGGCCTCGCATTATTGGGGAGAGACGGAGCTCAAGCCACTCGTCATGCAGACGCAACTCTTAGAAATAAAAAAAAAAAAAAGAACAATCAGAATACACCACCGTGAGATGAAAAATAAGGCAAATCCAACAGAAAACAGGAATTCATTCATAAAAAAGAGGCAAAAAGACCTCTAAATTGACCCAAATTACGTACGAAAAAGCAAAGATGTGTATATATGCACCGCGCCATCATCACCACCAGTACTCATCCATCCTCCGTCAGCTCTCCGAAAAAATAAAAAGAAAAAAAAATTCGCGTAAAAAAAAAAAAAAAAAAAAGTGCTATAAACGCCAATCACGCGGAAAGAGTGGAAGCTTGTCGATTCCCACGTTTAAGTGAGGCAATAATCTCCAACACCATGCGCTCCGTCACCACATTACCAACAGAATTCAACACGCTACAGTAATCCGCCAGGACATTCAGCACGACATCACCGAGACTCAAGGCACCTGACGGATCCTCATCCCTCAACGGTGAGGGTATCACCTTCTGAAGCGACTCCCATGACGAAAAAAAAGAATCCTCTAGTAGCACAATGGCAAGCAGACCAGCAACGTCTATTAGTTGTACGGACTCAGATAATAAAACAAGTGCCTCGGATGGAGAAGACATTGAAAACAACATACGTGCCACCTCCATAATTTCCCCACGTTTAGCGTAATACGAACACCAACGATACAAAATTTCTTTTTTTTGATTCGGCGTCATGGAAGTTACTTTGGCCAGTGCCGCCGCCTCGCCCCATTTGCCACAGGATTGCAACGCCAAGCCTGCCTCATAATAATCACCAGAAAGAATAAATTTTTCCACCGCGGCGTCTAAATCCCTCCTCGCCAAATGCAAAGCGGCTGCACGCTTCGTTGTATTTGAAAATAATGAAAACGATGAAGACTCCCTAGCAGTGATTGAAGCAGCGATCATCACGGCAAGATTGGCAAGATGAGAAAAGTGGTCGCTCTCTAAATTGGCATCCATTAAAACATCTATTGCTCTCTGAGCTTCTTGAAGCTTCAGCAACTCTCGTGCAACGATCAAACGACATGCTGAGACCTCCGTATTTTGGCTCTTAGTAGCCTCAAGAGCGGCTATTCGATGTTCGTTGATACACATACGGTTGCTGCGTATAACGTCCGGATTTGCCACAGCCTCAGAAAAGCGATTGCAGTGACTATAAAAAAACGGAGAAGCCCACTTCCTTTCCTCCTCTACCCCGTCGGAAGGTTGAATTTCATCCTTAGCTTTAGATCCAAAGTGACAAAAATATTTGTTTACACAAAACTGCAACCAGAAGCGCTGTTTCTCCTCTTGACCAAAAAAGCGAGCCACCCAAAATGCAACCTCCTCCGTACGTTTTTGGGCAACTGCACGCTGCATTGGTTCGCGAATGTGCCTTGGTACCATCGTCTCCTTGTAAAGATCCAACTCCTGTGCGAGCGTTGTAATTCCATCTGTAATGACCTGCCCAAACGGTCCTCGACAGGGGCGCCTTTGTGAATCGATGCTTTGTACCAGGTAACTTGGCGAGCTGGCACTCTGAAGGTTGCCGGCGCCTGGCGACTCACACATGGTTTGGGTCTCCAAAAGTGTTTGAATATATGTTCGATGGGCAGGCAAAAAAAAAGCACTTGTTTGTAAAGGTCTTCGATGAAACTTACAAGAAACATTGCTGTTGGCTGACGTAAGGGACTTGTCAAGAACCGCAATGTCACCGTTGGTCGTGAGAACAAAGAGTTTATCCGCTATCCACGTCAATTGCTTTGCGGTCAAATTGATCAGTGTTGCCCGCGAATAACTTAGTCTCTCCTTGCTAGATGCATTCCAGACTCCAAAAGCGCCATCTGTAAAAGCAATAGCAACCAGCACAACTGAATTGTTTTTCTCTGTACGGGTATTGTTCGCACACATTCCTTCTCCCTTCGACACCGCAACGTGTATCGCAGGGTTGTTAGGGGAAACTGATTTGAATGCTTCCAGAGAAAAACCGAAACTCCCCAAGCTTACCACCAAAGGTAGCTTCATACCATGCGTCAGTATCAACGCTTCTTCGGTGGGCACACAATTAACGCGCGGAATAGAACCACCAGAAAACAACGAGGTTACATCACGGTTTTTTACTACCCGGTCCTTGTAGACAGTCCATAAGCTCATCCCACCGTCCGTAAATATGATAGCCAGCAGTTGGGGACTGCCTTGGACACCAGTAAGGCAGGAAAGGAATGATTGCGGTGCCCACGAAACTCCCGCGACCCCCATTCCCTCAAATGTATAAATGAGGTCACCCTCTTCTACGCCCCACACCTCGAATGTACCGTCAAGAAATGTCAGGAGTAAAAAAGTTCCCGTAGCACTTAACGTTATTTCTTTCATACGTGTAGAATCAGGAATTGTGGGCTTTCGAAGTACTCGTAAGGGGGAGCCACTGCGGCAATCAAAAAGTGTCACCTGATGAAAATTACGAAGTTGTGTGGACTTGTTTGTCACCATCCAAACAGACTCCCCCCAACGATGAGGACTAAGCAATATGATGCGTGTACCCCCGGAATGCACAATGTTTATTCTTCGAAGTGTCACATTGTGCATCACATCCAAAAGAACCATGTGGCCATTTTCCAGCGCGCAGCAAACGATATTGTCTCCCACCACACAGAGTCGGGTAGGCTTAAGAAGCGCAAAGGAAAAAAAACCTTCCAGTGACCAACGCCGGCGTTCCACCAAATACCGCCACCGTGCCACGGAGCCATCGGCAAAAATAACAGCAAAAAGATTGGCCGTCGTTCGAGACTGAACCACATTTGAAACCGTCTTGGAGACAATTCTCGCACCTCTCACGTCGGCAGATACAGTTGTTACTTTTTCCTTCTGGGAATTGTACCAGGCGCAGAGTCTCTGATCGGTCCCAAAAGAATACAAAAAAGGAAGCTCTTGAGGGCCCTCAGTCCATGAACTAGGCGAGGAGGAGAAAAGACGCCTAAATTCCACATCACTCTTCGTGTGCCACAGTACCTGTTCATTAAGAAGCAAACCCGTTTTCCAGTCGTAGGCTCCAACGGAATTTCGTGTTGCAAAATACAAAACATCTTCATGAGCCTCACTAAAAGTGGCATCCAAGACTGTTTCATGGCCGTCTTCGCTGTCGTAAACCAAATCCTTCATCTGCAGAGCGACACCGCTTTTACCCGGTGCCGTTTCCAAAGAACCAATCACACGTAGACGATCACCAAGCACAAAACAAGAAGCCTGTGTGGAGCTAAGTTTGGACGTGCACACACGCAGCGGAACAAAGGAGTCTGTAGGCTCAGTTCGAACAGGGAATTCAAACTCACCAAATGGTTCCTTACCCACAAGATGTGAATCGTACACAAAATTCGAGCCGTCTCTTGTCACAACCAATAGGTGTTGCTTTGCCAAGTAAGAAAAGGCATGTATGGGCTGGCTATTCGGTACCTGGATGCTATTCAGAACCACTCCCTCAGCCACATCCCAAATGGCAACAGCCCCTCCACGATCTCCAGTAATAAGAAACAATCCATGTTGCAAATAAGACGCCGGTGGTGGTTTCCACTGGACACATGTAACAGGCGCATTGTGTCCATGCAGTGTTTGGACTAGTTGCATGCTGTTCATGTCTACCAAAAAAACATCACCGGATCCGTGGCAGTAGGAGCTGTAGGCCAACAAATCTTGACATCCGTACTCTGCGGACTGATACGGCCAGTTTCTCCCATCGTCAATGGGGGCAGCACCAGCATTCAACGACGCATCCTTGCCTGGAATAATTTTTGCACCCAACACGCTGTGCATGCAATTCATCTCGTCCTTTTTCCCGGTTTCCTTCTCCCCCACCCCACCCCGCCCCTGTCCTTTCCAGTGTTTATGTAATTGTTGTTGTTGTTGTTTTGGTTCCATTTGAGAAACAAAAAAAAAAAAAAAACTCGGTAAGAAACAAGCAACAACACACACAACAACAACAAAAAAAAGTACTTTCCACTAAACCAATAGCTAGAACAGAAACTGATGAATAAAAACGTAAACCCCACCCTCCTTCTCCCACAAATAATAATAATAACTCCCCCAGGTAAAATAAATAACTATATAAATAACTATGTATATATATATATGTCGTTTTGAATTAATTTAAAAGCACTCACCGGTCGTTATACCCTTGCGTCTCAACAACAACATTTATAAAGCAAATATCCGCTATTTCCGTCTTTTTATGTTTTGCCCTTCGTCTATTGTTTACGATGACCTCCCCTTCCCCCAATGCCTCAATTGTTTTTCATCACAAATTTGAACGGTATTCAAAATTGTAGTACGACGGCCGCACGAGTTCTTCAACGGCTTTATCGACAAAAACAGCCAATTCCTTTTCGCGCAAAGGGTCCTCTGTAATGAGTTCAGCGTACCACTTTAGTTTTGGCTCCGTTCCGCTGCCCCGAATTGTCATAGTGACACCATTATCAAAGTAAAAAGTTATGATTGGGCTCGAGGCCGAGATTGGAAGCGTTGCCCGCCCGTCCGGCATCTGGGTGTCCAGTCCAGAAGCCAAATCACGAATGTGCAGAACGCGAGCACCTGCAACTTCCTTTGGATAGGACCCGTTCTGCATTTTTGTAATTGCGCCGAACATTTCACTGACACGGGCGGGATCCCGGGCAATTACATACGAGTTGCACGTGAAATGAAACCCATATTGTTTAAAAATCTCAAGGAGTTTTTCCGAGAGCCGTTTCTTTTCCTCCTTCTCAAGGAAGGCGATCATGTCGGCCACCACAGCAGCAGCTGTTACGCCGTCCTTGTCAAAGACACGGGTGCCAAACATGTACCCGATGGCTTCCTCAAACGCCAAAACAACGCGCGCAGACGATTCCCGCTGGAGAGACTCCGCCAAACTTCCCATCCATTTAAATCCTGTAAGCGTCTCTGCGTAGTGCATTCCCTCCTTTTTGGCGATGGAACGAAGAATCATTGAGCTGACAATACTAAATATAAAGTAGCAGTTTTCCAGGGGCTCCCCAAGGCGACGAATTCTGAAAACAGTCCACCAACCAAGCAGAGCGCCCAACTCATTCCCACTGAAGATACGCCAAGTTCCGTCCTGCTTTCTTTCAGCGACTGCGAGTCGATCCGCGTCAGGATCATTGGCCAAAATATAATTTGAGCCCGCCTCCGCCGCTGTCTCCATGGAAAGAGTAAGAGTCCCAGCACCCTCTTCTGGATTTGGAAATTTTACGGTGGGGAATTCAGGGTCGGGCTCAGCCTGTGCCCTCACAACACTTATGCAGTGCCGCGGGACTCCCACAGTCTCAAGCGACTTCATAGTAAAAGGGCACCCCACACCGTGTAACGCCGTGTAAGTCACTTTCACAGGATAGTTGGCGGCTAGTGGTTTGTATTCTGCCTTTAACGTGGCAAAGTACTGATCCCAAACCTCTTGAAATGGATCACTCACGCCTGCTGCAGCCTCCCAGGAAGAACCCAAAGGTGTCAAGTTTTCCAAAATGAATTTTGAAATGTTTTTGTCATGGGGTGAAATAATCTGTGCGCCGTTGCTCCAGTAGACCTTGTACCCATTGTATTCCTTGGGGTTGTGGCTCGCAGTGACCACCACCCCAGCCACACAACCAAATAGACGAATAGCAAATGGAACAAAAGGAGTAGGTACCACTTGACCAAAGAGACGTGTGTTGATGCCAGCGTTAGTAAAAACGTTAGCAGATAGCTCTGCAAAACGTTTACTGCCATATCGACCATCGTATCCAATCACCACTCCGCCTGAAGAAAGTTTTTCTTGGGTAAAGGTCGCCCTTAGATATGCGCTCAATCCCTGTGCAGTTTGAATGATCGTTAGACAGTTCATCTGGCTATTCCCAGCGCCCATTTTCGAGCGAAGTCCAGCGGTCCCAAACTCCATTCGATTGCCAAGGAGAATTTGTAACTCCCTTGTATCCCCGTCCTTCCAGAGTTTTTCAATAACACCTCGTGTTTCGGGATCCCTGTCCCATGAAATCCACTCTTGAACGAGCTTCTCAACTGACATGTTCTTTTATTTTTCCTTTTCTTTTTCTTTTGTATGTGCGTGTAAATGTGGTATATGTGCTATTTCAGGTCCCTCACAGCTCTGTTTATGCGCACGATGTTTTGACTTGCCCTTTCTTTCTTTTTTATAATTCCTTCTGCATGCACATGCCGACAGGCAACACCGCACACTCCCGGAAGAAGAAAGAGAGGAAGAAGCGCATCGCAATTACAAATCAATAAATTTCCCTTTTAACCCCCAAATACAAGCAATTTCAGCCCATCTTGTTGTTGTTTTTCTTTATTCACCTCGTCTCTGAATAAAGTCACAATTGAACGGTCCCTGCAATTTATGTTGAAAAATGCAGTAGGCAAAGTGAATTCTCGGGCAAGAAATGGAATAAATAAATATATATGTATTATGCCGCAACCCGAGATCAAGCCAAAGAACTTCAGATCTTCAGTCTGGGGGCTCTCCCAACTGAGATATCGCGTCAAACATTGCCTCACGCGTATCTCCTCCTCCTCTCACTCCTTTTTTCCTTCACGCAGCCGATCCAATAGGGCGGTAGCGGAGCAGATTCCCTCCGAGAGAACCACCGCGCCGCATAACGCTGTTGCCGCAGCCATTCGGACCTCCTCAGGTGGAATTTGGCCACATGGCTCAAACATGGACTTTTCATAGAGCAGGAGATCCTCCACATGAAGTCCGCTAGGAATCCCCGCAATTTCCTCCGTCGCTAGAAGCCCCGCCATACCGTGCACAGCCGCAACCTCTTTCAGCAAACGCAAAGTAGATGACCCTGTCAACGTCAATTCGATGGGCATCGCCACCGACGCACGCACCGATCGCGAGCTCACATAACTTGGATGTATGAGTGCGCACAGAAACAAGTCGTTGGTAAGGAGTTTCTCCCTTGGAACGACTCCCTCAAGCGACGTTTGCAAACGCGTAGTGGAGTTCCTTACCCAATTCTCCGGAAGTTTCAGGGCCGCCTCATGAAGACGGATCCTCGACGATGTCTTGAGTACACCATTTACACCAAAAGAAGTCGTTCCCTCTGAAACCGCCACTTCCGCAGTCTCCCTCAGAAGCTGAAGATACTGTTTTCGGTTCCTCGCGGCGGCAGCATTAAAGCCCCGACTAGTCATCAAAAAAAGGGTGCTATGCCTATCCGTCGTAGGATGCAACAAATTACACGGTCCAGAATGTGCGTGTGAGCAAAAAACACCACCACCACCACCACTATCCCTTTAAAAGAAAAAAAAAATACAAAAAATTCAGTGGAATGCATAAAACAAAAAAGAAATACAAGAACGGTGGTGGTATTCGTCATTTAAATTCGCAACAGTAAAACAGGGAAGTAAAGCACCAGCACCATCGCACCTGGTGAAGCAAATTCCCCTCCCATACACACACATACACTCACATCCATCGATTTTTTTTTTTCTATATGAATAGATCCAAGAGAAAACCACGGCATTGGAAAACCCGGTGGAGCTAAGTGCAACTTCATGGTAAGAGGAAGAAAAGAGGACGTCACAGCTGTCCACCCAGAGGATATACTTCAGTGAATTAACCCACATCAATTGGCATACGGGCTCCGTCTTCCCCTCGCGGCTCCCTTGAGAAACACACAAAAAGAAAAAAAAAGAAAAATACCTGTGGCACAAAAAGGGGGAAAATATAAATTCGACTCTTTCCACCAACCCACTAATAGAGTAACTTACGGTAAAGTACAGAATCACCCTCTTCCTCAAGATCGGCGCGCGTTACCCAGAGCGATGCAAAGGAAGAGCTCGCCGCTGCTAGGGAGGCACCGGTCCAGGCCCCATCCACTGCACCAAAAACATGGAAAGAACCCTCCTTCTCATAGCGAAAGTAACACGAGTCCCTTTTCTGTGCTTCCTTTATAATTCGATCGCAAAAACCAGGCGCCTGTGAAGTTCCACCGCAAAAAACATGCGGAACGGCTTGTTGCAGCCACTCAGGATCAAGCCTCTTCTTGCATGACACAACTAACTCTGCCAAGGAAACACCAAAGCCGGTTGGTGGCGAGAAGAGCATCTCGTATGGCTCAGTTCGCGCTGATGCTGAAACTGTGACAGAATTTCCATCGGGAGCACGTAACACCAACGGCTCTTCCTTTAGAGAAAAATTTGAATGCCCCACTCGTACAAAACACGCCATCCTTTTAATGTCATTCACCATGTCATCCAAAGCCCAGTTACGAATGGAAGGTACGCGGTAGCGTTTTATACTTTCAAGTGAATCCAGTTGTTCCCTGTCTAACATCTCAATCAGACGTCCCGTGACGGAGCGTCCAGCAAGGCTGCTGGACGCAACAGTGTTCCGCAACGCATATCCATCCAGCACAGCCGTCGTTGTTGCTTGATTGTGTCCCACATCCAGCACAACGGCAGAAGTCCTACCCGAGGCTAACGTCCAGGCCACACTCGGCCGAAAGCAATACAATGCAGATGTAAATCCAGCCTCCAACACAACACGGAACAACTCTCGCACCAAGTCAGTCCTTTCATGCAAGGCCTCAGGCAACACCAACATGAGAGGATCATCCTTGGAGCACTGAAGTTTATTTCCCATGATATACTCCAATTGTTCTACATTTTGATTCATGCCGCGCTCTAGTGAGCAAACTGTCCACACAGACTGAATAATATCCACTCCTGTGGCCTCTGCTGCCATTAATATCGATGGGAAACTAGTCTCCATGGGTCCGTCACGAAAGCAAATGGAAGAGGACTGTCTCGTGCACCTTGCATCGCCAATGTAGCCGGCACGAATGGTCCATCCCACTTCCACCACTGCCATATCTTTCCCCTAATTTTTTGTGGCATAGAAGAAATTACATAATAAAAAAAAAACATGTTTCCAATAAAGAAACGTTCACGCAGGCCATCCAGAAGAACACCCTTCTCGCTGATAGGTACAACCGACGTAACAAAATCAAATAAATACAGGTACACGGCAACGTTTAATAATAAAAATAAAAAAAGACAACAACGGGACTAATTTGAGTTCCGGTATCCCTACGGCGTCCATGTGCAGTAAGAATGCGATACGCAAGCTTTTCTCCTCCCATATCAAGCGCGAAAACGGCGAATTGAGGCAAACAGTCCCTTCTCATGGACATGCTGAGCCAACTCTTCCGCCGCCAACCTGGTTGGGGTCCGAAATATAAGTTGGTCCGGCACCCCAGGCGTCTCTATCCCTCTCAAAGAAAGTGACTCCCCAATTTTACGAACCTCCGCCTCTGCTGTTGCATTTTCAAATTTCACGCACACCTCCCATGCAATGATGGGGAACTGTGTTGAAGCTCTTGTTGGATCCGGCGGCATGGAAATCACAGGCGGTGATGACTCCCGCGGTCTGAAGGATGTCAGTGTCGCAACGGACTCGGTAAATGATGAGGAGGAAGCCCCACCACTCGTGGAGGTTGAGGGTGTCATGAAATTAAGGACCTCCCTTGCCCGCTTCAGGTAGCAATGATGCAGAGCAGCTTCCTCATTTCGCATAAAGACGAGGCAACGCCTACACTGCATGCAAGGCACATGATACCGGGAGTCAACACGCAAATCCTTGGCACAATGAGTGCAGAGATCCATATCGCAGACATCACAGTGGTAAAAGTATCGTGGTTCAGCCTCCTTCTCCCGTCGTTTTATTGCTTTTTTGCCTCTTCTCTTTCCTTTCATCCCCACACCCGTTCCCTCCAGCACCTCTAACCAGTCAGTAAAACCGCAGAAGTCACAGCTAACTCCATCAACAGCACCATATTGTGATCTTTCCTTGATACGCAGTTCATGGCCGTTCCAGCAACGCCAAATTTCCTTCACTGGATCGTACAGTGGGCTACCGCACTGAAGCAAATATGCCGTGTTTTCTGCCATATTTTCTTCCGGGTGACTCACCTCATGCAGAACATCTTCGGGTTTCACAGATTCTGTGCTATTTCCCTTTGCTTCGCGGGTTATTTTATTCTGTGGAAACTGTTTCTGCGGAGTCATCTGTGAAATCTCCCGCTGCGGTGAGATGCTACGCGCTGACATCTCAATAAACCGCGAGATATTCACGGGAGAAGAAAGATACTTGGAGCTCATCCCCCCTCCACGTAGCTACTCGTAATGAAATTTATTGAGTACCCCCTGAAATTCTTAAAAACTCCCTCCCCCCTTCTTGTCTTCTATCCTGAGGGGGGAGGAGGGGGGGGGGGCAATTAAAAAAAAAAAAAAAGTGTTAAAATTCAAACTGCGCACTATATTATACTATATAAGTATGGATGTAATGTGTACTTCCCAATGCTGACTGCCAGCCTGACGCCCTTCCAGCTTTGCCCAATCCGAGTGGCGCCACACCACGGAACCTATCGCACAAGCAAGAAGAAGAATAAAATAATAAAAAAAAAATTGTCGCGGCCTGCCATCATGGGGATGAGGGAAAAAATCGCAACCGCCTTTGATACCAACAAAAGAAGAAGACAGAACACACATCCGGGTGGGAAAAAGGCGTAGTAAAGCGCTTTCACCTCCACACGTATAAAACCACCTTCCTCCGCAAACACCCAACTGTGCTTGTGTGCTTCACTCTCAACTACATCGCCGCTTCACATGGAGGCGGAAAAAAGAAGAAAAACTCCAGAAACAACAACGACAAAAGAAACTGACCGTAAGTGGAAAAAAAATGGAATAACATCCCCGTTTGGGGCGCGGAAGGCCAAGTGGATTCATACAAAAAAAAAAAAAAAAAAAAAAAATCGGTTATCCATTTCCTCCTCTTCACATAAAAGCATGCAGGACGAGAAAACAAAAGCACATAAACATATAAAAGTATATATTTACGTGACTGAGAGATATGCTAAAACCATAAAGAGCCCTTCTTCTTTTTTTTTTTTTCTTTTAAATGTAGTTGTTCGTCCATTAATGCCTTTACCTTTTATTCACATAACATTATTTTGTTTATTCCCACCCCATCTTTGTTTGTTACGAACAAATAAAGAAATAATAGAACTGGAAGGGAGGGAAAAATAATGAAAGGGTTCATCAACTTTTGCCAATCTGATAAAGCAGCCGAAAAAAAAAAAAAAGATAAAATGAAATATATGGTGACTCAACAATCAAAAAAAAATATATTTTTTTTTTTCTTTAAAAAAGTTGCTGCGTTAAAACAAAACAAAATGAAAACAACAAGTGGGGGAAAAAAAACTGCCTTGTGGTGAGCCCCACTTCCAGTGCAAAGTGGACCCCACCCAAATCCTACTGACACCCCTGCCAGACGACACGCACACTTTCACACACAGAAAAAAGGATGGTGCAAACCGCAATTTTTTTGCTCATGCCGACACTCATCCTCTTCCCTCTCCACTGAAGTTTTGGACGCAAATCAGCGGAGAACGGGTGCGGTCTTATTGCCCTCCCAGCAGCCGACGCAAGTGAATGGAGCCGGTGGGTCGGACATTGGAGTTAATTCGTGTGGCTGGTTTTTGCGGCACCCTCACCGGCGGCAAGTGAAGGGTGTCATTCTTCTCCCCCTCGACTTCTTGCTTCGTCAAAGCCTCCTTGCAACCATCGCCCTCGTCACTTGGCAAGCGCAGAGTGACTCGCAGGGAATTCTTTTCTAATCCGTCATACAAGTTGGCGTCTTTCCCGGGCAAAATGAGACACGCCTCCTGCGTGCCTGGCTGCGAGACCATAGACGGCGTTGCAGAAGAAGAAGAAAGAAAATAAGAAGATTGCCGCGAGTTTGCCGAAGAGTCGTTAAGCTCATCCTGCCGTATTCTATTGGTCACAATGGCCTGTATGCGTGAAGGAGACCCTTTCACGGTGTACTGTCGGAACGTGGAATCGCCAAGGCGCAAGAACACATCGCGATTACCCGCGTCCTTTTCCACCACGGCTTCCTCCACGCGTAGCCTCTTTTGCTTGTAGCCATCTAAGGGTGAAAGAAACCACTGAATGCCCCCATCTGGCAGACGCTCTCCCACAAAATAAAAACTGCTCAGGGGCTGCTTCCCGTTGTGCCCGATGTCTGTCGATCGGCTGACAGTCGACAAAGACAGCAGCCTCTCCCCAACGGCTATTTCCAATGGAAAAGCCATGCGCTCACCTTCCCAATCAACAAGTCAACCGTCCAGAAAAAGACAGGCAAAACCAACAGCCCTTGTGGCAACAGTAAAGCTTAGGTGCTTTCCACAACTAACTAATAACTCGTAGCCAACGCAAAAAAGATTTTTAAAAAAAGTCATAAAGAACACAGCGACGGCAAAAAGGACACAAACAGAGCTGGAATTCAGAAAAACAAACAAACAAAAAACACTGTGTGATTCTACGAAAGGAAAACAACAACAAAAATAGTAAATAAAGGATGGTGGGAGAGGGCGCATATATGTATTCTCCTCCTGGCGTGCACTATCACAACTCAGGAGCCCCATCTGACAGATCACTGCGCCAAAATAAAAATAAAAAAACCTTTCAACTGAACGTTAATAAAATAATGATAATAATAACTCATCGCTCATTTTATTTTCTTACTGTTTTCGATAAATACGGTTTTCCACACTCTCCCCCTTCTTATTCTTCTTTATTTTGAAGACCTCGTCCGCTTCTCAGTTCATTTCCCCTCTCCTACGTGACCCTTTTCCACTAACTCACAGCCCGATATTTTCCCTTTTGGGTAATGTCCATCCACATCACTCCCACCCACCCATCCCCTTCTTTACTTTGCGCCGTCACTCACGGAAAAACAGTCTTGACAGCGTCGACCACAACTTTGGCGGCATTTTGAATTTCCTCCCTGTTTGCCTTTCCCTTCACAAGGATCCGCAGCGCCGGGTAGTTTTCACATTGTTCATCTGCAGAATAAAGATGGCGCAACAGCATCACCTTCATTTTCCTTGCCAACTGGACAACTTGCTCCAGCTCTATTTCCACACTCTGAGAGTGCTCCTTTAAATAGGCTTCGGTGGGCCGTAGAACCAGAATCGGAGACACGTCACCTTCGCACTCCAGCAAGCGTATCTTGTCTGAATTGAATCTGGCTTGCCGAAGGGCCTCGCGAAACAACTTCGCATTAGATTGCAGCTTCTCAGGGTATGTGTGGTCTTCATGCAGAATGGTCAGTGCCATGGAAACGGCAGCCGTGATGTAAGGTGGTAAGGATGCTGAAAAAACATACGCCGACGCGGCAAGACGCTG